TCCACTCGCTCTCACCGTGTCACTCTTACCACCACTTCCGCGCCCGATGTCGTTCCTTTTACGGCCTTTACAGGATACAGACGTACCAAGGCGACCAACTCAACAAGGTCGATCTACTGCTACCGCGCCCTCTACTTCCTCCACTCTGCACTTCCTTTCCACCAAATGTACCACCACGATCACTGCCAAACTCAATCCCATCACCCCTTACTCTTCCTCCTCATTTCTCCTCTTTTTCTTCTTCCTCCTCTTCTTTCCCCCCCTCTTTTCTCTCTTTTCCCTCCTCTTCCTCCTCCATCAGTAGGTGTGCCAAGTATTGTGGACGTGGAAACGGTCACCAAAGGTCGACAAGTTGTCACTGACCCTACTATAAATGAAAACAAACGGTAATTTTAGGGCAAACAGACCACAATTGCTCGGATTGCCGCCTCTTTGCAGCACAACTCCTAATTTATAATGACGACAACTGCGAAACAAGCTTTGATGCTATTTCAGACGAGGATGCTTACGCCGCAATTGCTGACGTGGTTCAATAGTTTGAGACTACAAGTTAGACAACGGTTCAGTGGGAGGGTGAAGGGGGTGAAGATGGGCCATCGATCAGGCGGCGGAGGCATTGGTACCGGGAGAATGCTTCCAGCCTAAGGCCTACCATTCCGGCCCATTTAGGTAACATAAGCGACAACGACGACCTGCTGATGGATTTTTTTGTTTAAATTGAACCTTCCCATAGGAAGGCTCAGTAAGGAGAGAACAGCCCCAGTGGTGCAACAAGCCACCAGGGTTTTTTTTATTTCTAAAGGCGGTACTTGAGAAAGAAATGTGTAGGGGGCAGCGGCAAGACTCTGAATTTGAGGGAAGACTTTGTGCTGTAGAAGAGGGGGGAGCCCTCAACTCTTTGAGTGTAAGATGAGGAGATCATGCGCCAAGTCAAACGCTCTCCTAGGACTCAAACCCAGGACCTCAAAATTGCGAGGAGGACGCTTTACTACTACGCCAAACGGGATCCCAAGCCCTCGCCTACTGAAGGAGAACAGCCGGCTGACACAGGTTGTCCCAGTCACGCATGATTGTAGCAGCCACGCATGGTTCCAGCCCGGCGCCAACCATTCCGACCCATTTAGGTAACATGAGCAAGCTATTGCCATCGCATTGCATGATGCACCTCAGTCCTCTGCTATGAACTGTAATGCTTGCAGACAACTCCATCATCATTGTACAACTCATCCGGATTGCCTTATGAGCAGGCAGCGCATGATCGTTGCAGAATCTCTTGCTCCTACTCCTTCTACGGTCCTTGCTGCTCCCGCTGCTCCTGTTGCCCCTGCTGCTCCTGTTGCTCCTGCTGATCTAAGTGTTTTTGGAAATAGAATAGCTGTTAAGAATCAGGACAACACAGTGTACATGATCATGGGATCGATGAGCGTGGTATGCTCTCATTGTGTGCTTTACATTGGATAGAGGTAACCGTCTACGATATTACCTACAGCTAATTTATATCCGTCCCTCTTTTTATTGATACCGATTTAATCATTTCTTTTGAAACGCAGGAGTGTGTTGGACGTACAATCGCCAATCTACGCTTTCTGCTGTCTAAGAGTCAAAACGCCGGTCATTGAAGCTTCCCTTGATGAATTACAAAGCCTTTCAGAGGTGGTACCTTTTTCTCCGGGCTATTTCTTGCAACCATCCGGACCTTCAACAATGCCATTGCCTTTACGTCCTTTGGTACCAGCTCAAAGAACCGTGACATGCGTTGACCGTCTGCCAGAGGGAGGCAAAAAGAAAAAAAGATATTGCAAGTGCGATAGAAGACTTTGGAAGTATGGAGATATGGCACGTACGTTGCAAGGGCGACGGTCGAATAGGGGAAGACCCAAGAAATAACAGCTCGAGAAGAAGGCGGGTTTGAGCAAGAGAGGGAAACCGACAGGGACAGGATTTGGCCCGCCAAGGCAACGAGTCGATTTGTCAAACAAGGTCTGAGTGAGGCGGACGAGAAGGTTGTACAACACTTACATGGTAAGATGGTATTGCATTTAAAGGAAAGAAAGGAGACTGCTGCATAATATCTTTGACCCGAGATCTCGACTCATCTCACCTGACAGGTCGCGTTGGGGATGCGGGGGGCTGGCTCGGTGCTCGCCACTTCATGGCATTCATACGACCCAAGTTGTGTAACTATAGGCATTCGGGCTCCCAGGGGTCCGTCTCACACTTCCTTCCCGTGGCCGTGGCTTGGATCAGTCAGGCCTGGCGCGCCGTCACGAGTTGTGGAAATACGACGTCAAAAAATAAGGAAGGGAGGGCAAAACGAAAAAAAAAAGTGAAGGCAAAAAAAAAAATCAAATAGAAAAGCGAGAGAGAAATGAGGAACTGACAATCACAAATAAACTTTGCAATATTCAACCACCACCACTTTTTTGTCAGTTCACACCTGCCCCACACCTCCGCGAGCGAAGCCGCGGGTACTATTCTAGTGTAAGAATAAAAAGCTAAAGAAACGTATGAGAAAATTGGAGGAAAGAATGGATGAGATGAACTATATTATGTCCCAACAGAAGAAGGAGATTGGTCAAATAAATGCCTTGATCGAAGGTTTTGTAACTAGTCTCAAGGTAAATCAAGAGGAAGAATTAGACAGAGCCAATATTGTTGAAGTATTGGAATAAGCCTTTAAAATCTGCAGTGTATATACCTTCGATGAGAAGTGTTGAGAGAATTATTCCCAGGCAAATCCACTACTAGGAGGCCATCCATAATGAAACACGCATCTGAATTCAAAACGTTAATGAATCATTTATTTGGAAAAACGCGAATTGAAAAAGAGAAAAGAAAGGGATGTGCGATAAAGTAAGGGAGGAAAAATAAGAGCAGGGAAAAGCAAAGGCAGGGAAAAGCAAGGGCATGGAAAAGCAAGGGCAGGGAAAGAGCAAGGTGATGCAGAAAAAAAGGGGAGGGATGACGAAAAAAAAAGATGGGGGTACAGAAAAAAGGGAGGGACAACGAAAAAAAAAGATGAGGATGAAGAAAAACGAAGGAACGCCGAACAAAAGATGAGAATGCGGAAAAAGGAAGAGATGCATAAAAAAAACGGGGTTGCAGAAAAAAGAGGGAGGAACGCGAACAAAAGATGGGATACAAAAAAAAAAGATGGGGTTGTATGGATCCAGGGTGGGAAAAAGGGGAGGGACGCCGAAAAGATCAAGGGGATGCAAAAAAATAATATTAGGAGGTATGCCGAAAGATTGAAAAATCAAGGGACAACTTCCAGGGACAACACTTGTGAGCAACGCTGAGAGACCACACCGAAGGAAAAGCAACACCAAGGGACAATACAAGTTGACACCACCAAGGAATAACATCATTGGAACAACACCAAGAGACCATACCAAGGGAAAAAACCAACGGACAACACTGATGGACAACATTCATGGATAACATCAAAGGACAACACTAGGGACAATACCAGGGACAACACCAAAGCATGACACCAAGGGACAACATCAAGGGACAACATCAAGGGACAATGCCAAGGCATAAAAATCAAGGGACAACGCCAAGGCATAAAAATCAAGGGACAATGTCAAGGCATAAAAATCAAGGGACAACGTCAAGGGGCCATGTCAAAAATAGCATCAAGGGATCACATTTGAGGGGAAAGGGATGAGGAATGGGAAAGACCAAGGGATGCTGGGAAAAGTTCAAGGGACTGAAAGGAGTAAGGGACTGGAAAAATCAAGGGACTAAGGGATGCTAGAATGATAAATACTTTATCACGTGATCGTAGAAACATGCTAGGATTTCTTTCAGGGACGCAACACTTACCGCTTTCCTCCCTAGCACTGATGAGATAAGTGACAACTGGCTTGTGGCAGCCAAGCGTTCATAGAGATGTCGCTTTTTGATCCTTCGATGTCGGCTCTTCCTATCACACTGAATCAGGATTCAAAACGACAACGGCATAAAAAAAAGATTAAGAGACACGGAATAAATATCAAGAGGGGGGGAGCGCGAAGGAGAGACGCAAAGCAAAACAGGAGCAAAGGGGATGAAAAAGAATGGTCAAGGGCAGGGACACAAAATAGATCAAGGGATGAGAAAAATCAAAGGGTGAGGAAAAGCAAGGGATGGGCTGGAAAATCAAGGAAAATTCAAGGAAACAAAGGAACAAGGGACAACACCAGGGGGCAACACCAATGCACAACATTAAGGGACAACACTAAAGGACAACACCAGGAGACAACACCAAAGGGTGACATCAAGGGACAACAAGAGAGGAACAACAAGAGAGGGGCATATCACGGAATGCCAGAAAAGTTCAAGGAATGCTTGGAATGATCAAGAGATGCTGGAGGGCCAGTAGTATTATGTGAACACCCAAGCGTTCATGGCGACATTGCTTTTTGATCCTTCGATGTCGGCTCTTCCTATCATACTGAAGCAGAATTCAGTAAGCGTTGGATTGTTCACCCACTAATAGGGAACGTGAGCTGGGTTAGACCGTTGTGAGACAGGTTAGTTTTACCCTACTGATGAAGTAACAAGGGAGTAACGGAGTAGATTTTTGAAGACAAGGAGATCGCTGAACAGCTGGAGTGGTTAATCCAGATGGAGACTTGCTTGCATGAAGTTCGGGGGAAGAGAAACGTACGTACTCTGGGATCCAGGTATGGAGAGCAACCTAAAGGGGTGATATATACCAAACCAAAAAAAAAAAAAAAAAAAAAGGAGCGCTGCCTTGCAACAGAAAGCATCAAGATAGCCATGATTTAGGGAGCTTAAAATGCTCCGCAAAAAAACGGAGACAAAGCTATGAAGAGATGAAGGAAAAGGCGGAGAGCAACACAGGGCGCTGGAGCAGGTAGACTCACATCTTCAGATTTCCTTTATATATCGCCCTCATCTGGCCGTACACTTTGAATTGTCATAACATCCAACCGAACCACAACCAAGAAACATCTCTACCCCCCCCCCCCCCCTTCTACCCTCTACCCAATATGCTGAACAACTTGCGAATCCGATCCCTGATCTATGCCGTCCTTGGCGCCGCTCAAGTCGCTGTCTTTGCCTCTGCGTCGGTTGTTGACCCTGGTGTGTACGTTATCCGAAACGTAGCTTTCCCTAATAAGGTCTTGGACGAGAACAAAGCCCACGCCACTGGTGGATGGGTCCTTAATGGAGGCGCCAACCAAAAGTGGCTCTTGATTCCTCTTCCAGACTACGGAACAATCTTTACGATCCAGAACTGCGCATCCAAACGCTATCTTCACAATTCGGGTCAGAGTGTCACTACAGTTCCTACAAGTGGTACTCCATATTGGTCTATCTCAGATTTGGAGGAAGCCGTGAAAGAGTTCTTTGTTGTCTCTATGGACAACCCTGTCAACAGAGGCCTTACAATGACCGGAGGCACCTCAATCACCGCTGAGGAGGAATCAGGGGATACTAATCAAAGATGGCGCTTCCAGAATGTTGGAAACAGTTGCCCACCTTGATTACCCTATACTTTGACACTTCGTATGTGTAGCTTTCTTTCATATAAAGTTGAACATTGTTCTGTTCTATTCACGCACCTGTTTTTCATGTCCCCGGTAGAATGCAAGCGAGAGTACTTGTGACTCTTAAAATGGCTGGCACCTGTGTTGGTCCGCATAGTCAACTGATCCAACTGATCCAACTGGTCCAATTTTTTTCTAACTTGAAAAGGCGGATGATGCCACCTTTTTGTCATTCAAGGGCTGATAAGACGAAAAAAAATATCACTCTCTTTTTCAGAAATTTTCTATGCGTTTTTTTTTCTTTCCAGTCCGCAGTTTTCAAGAGCAATTTGACAACTTGCAGCATGAATACACGAGCATGAAGGCAAAGTACGAAAAATCGAGCAAAGATTTTATCCAACTTAACAAGACTTTTTTGGCTCTCAACAAAGCGTCAAAAGCCAGAAATGTTGACGACTACAGCAGCATCATTGATCTTGTTCAGTCCTCAAAGGGAAACACTTCAGCATATTTGAATAGCAAAGGATACCTTTCACGTCCAAATTATCATATGGTTTTTGTTACATCTCTGTAGATCTCGACGATATCCATAGCGACTATGGGATGAGAATGTATATATGATACCACGCATATAAGACAACCATTGTAACATTTTTTGTTTAGCTATCCTACTAACCACCATGATATTCTTCAAACAACAAAGTCTTCTTATTTTTTGCACACCAATCTCTTGAATGTCTCCATCTACTATTAAACTGTACCCATCACTGCGAGATTAAGGGGAGTAGTTCTTGTATGTGATCATCTAAAGCACCTATACTCTCAACTGTATCTTTGTCATGAAATACAAGGGAGAGATTACATTTTAAAAAATCTTGTGCTGTCTATTGCTATTTTATTCCGTGTTCTGTTGCCCACTAAAAAGAGATATGTCAGCTATGGAAGTCAACACTCCGTTCCTTGGGCTTTGGATATTTTTATATGCCTTTTTATATTCTCTGCACATGAAGGGGCCGCTACCGAAAAAAATATAAAAATATATTTGTATTCTCAACTATGTGCTTGCTGTAAGATAGATACCATCCTACATGCTCTTGTATATGCAGTTAAGTATGAGCCTTTTTAAAAAATTGTTATTGTTGGTTAACGTCATGACAATCCAATACATAAATATTATTATGGCTCTAACAAAACACTTCAAACAACTGCTTGATGACCATTGGACTTTCCTCAACGCTGGATGGCCAACAATTACACCACGTAATAATCATCGTACTGTAAGCAAGGAAATCGGGTTTATGCCACAAATAAAAGAAACCCTAAATCGACGCCTTGGACCTATTCCAGTGTACTTCTTTCTTATTGATATCTGGCCAAAGGTTAAGTATCCTGGTCCATACAAAGAAGTGGAGAAAGGTCTTTTAATGCTGTATCATCTTGTCAAAGGACTGTCTATGGAAGCAATGGAACCACACATGCCAAAAAGTAGTTTTCATGCAATGCACTCTGTGTTTTATAAGAAAGAATATACTTTACACAATAAGTACATCACCAACTGTATTGCAACAATGTTCTCCACAATTACAATATGCCTATTGTCTGCAAAGAAAAAGAATCCTCCATTATTTAAGCATGTCACATTGCATCTTGATGGTCATGATACAAGCAGCCCCTTCATGTGCAGAGGATATAAAAAGGCATATAAGAATATCCAAAGCCCAAGGAACGGAGTGTTGACTTCCATAGCTGACATATCTCTTTTTAGTGGGCAACAGAACACGGAATAAAATAGCAATAGACAGCACAAGATTTTTTAAAATGTAATCTCTCCCTTGTATTTCATGACAAAGATACAGTTGAGAGTATAGGTGCTTTAGATGATCACATACAAGAACTACTCCCCTTAATCTCGCAGTGATGGGTACAGTTTAATAGTAGATGGAGACATTCAAGAGATTGGTGTGCAAAAAATAAGAAGACTTTGTTGTTTGAAGAATATCATGGTGTTTAGTAGGATAGTAAACAAAAAATGTCACAATGGTTGTCTTACATGCTTGGTATCATATATACATTCTCATCTCATAGTCGCTATGGATATCGTCGAGATCTACAGAGATGTAGCAAACACCATATGATAATTTGGACGTGAAAGGCCTCCTAGGTGAATGTTTTAAAAAAATATGGGTGATGCCATAGTGGTGATGGTGCATGCATTGTGGAACGTCTCAGATGAAGTTATCGTGGTTTTCATGATGTTTAATATAACATACTTTGTTGGAAGTTACGATTGTTATGATATTTGTTGATATACAGATCGTTAATAAACATGCCAATGGTGAAAAAATAAATGTCATAAAGAGTGCATGCATTGTAGAACATCTTAGATATACAGTGCTTAGAAAAACTGATTCAATGAATCACAGTTTTTGACATTCATCGACTTTTCTTGTGTCCATCTCAACCAACAACCTCCAACCGCGTCGGGAATCTACCTTTCCCTCTCCTAATCGTAGTGCGTATGCGAAATCAGAAAATAAATAGCGTAGGCCGTTGCTTAGATCTTTCTAGATCGTGACGTCAATTGAATCAATTTTTCTAATTCGTCATCATAGATCCATTCACTCTTTATTATCGCTCTTTTGTTTTGTGATCACTCTGATTCACCCTTCACACACCTTCAGCTCCTCCTTCTTTACCCTTTCGAACGATTCCCAGCTCAACAAACAATCAACATGAAACCTCTTACACGATCCATTAAAGAGACTGCCGTGGAACAGCTTCGACAAGGAAAATCGACCAGGGCAGTTGCATGCAACCTTCGGATCTCTGTCTCATCAGCGATCAGGATCAGGAACGAGGAAAAGGAAAACATCCCTGAGCCTCATCCTGGCAGACCTAGGAAGATCTCAACAAAGACAAGGACGAATCTCACGCGCCATTTCATTCAAGGCGACTTAACATCGCTAAAGGATGGACAACGATTTGTTGAATCAACCGAAGGAGAGCATGTCCACCTCACCGCTGTACAGAAGAATCTACATCAGGAAGGAATCAGGGCCTACTCAGCACCAGACAAGCCAAATCTCACACGGGAACAGATCACAAAAAGGCTCAGATTCGCAGAAGCACACCATCACTGGCGGGTCGAGGACTGGAAGAACGTAATGTTCTCTGATGAGTGCATCTTCAGCCGCATTGGCTCCTTCGGCAAGAAGTACTACTACCACAGACGCCAACAACAACAATACCTGCCTCACCAAGTTCGGCCGAAACAACAAGGCGGTGGAGGGAAAATAATGGTCTGGGGTTGCATTGGATATTCTGGCGTCGGAGACCTTTGCTGGATCGAGGGCAATATGGATTCGGATGCCTATCTCGACGTTCTCCAAAGGCGTGTTCGTCAGTCCCGCGATTGGCTAGGCATGAACAACAAGAAATTCATATTCCAACAGGACAATGCCCGCGTACACACTGCACTCAAGTCCATACACTTTTTTGCGAGGCACAGGATCAAGGTTCTTGAGTGGCCACCTAATTCGCCCGACCTCAACCTCATCGAGAACGTTTGGTCATACATCAAAAAGGAGTTGGATCGGCAGTCAGAGGCGGCTGAGGACCAGGACAGGCTGTGGGAACGTGTGGAGGCGATCTGGAGGGAAATTCCGCCGGAGTACTTTCACAAACTGTACGAGAGCATGCCCGACCGCCTGGAGATGGTGATTCAGAACAAAGGACGCAACACCAAGTACTGATGACCGCGGCAGATGAAGGGCATGCAACAGATTCGGCCAATTAGAAAAACTGATTCAATGAACTTATTTATTTTAAAGCGATGTCGATGACGATTCTACAAAGTCATTTTGGTTGAGATATCACGTGAACAATGAGAAAGAGAGAGAGTAACAACAGAGTAAGACTTGAGAGTAGAGGGTTAGGATGAGAATGAGAAAAGTTGATGAATGTCAAAAACTGTGATTCATTGAATCAGTTATTCTAAGCACTGTAGTTATTGTAATTTTTGTGATATTAAATATAAGCAGACTAGAATAGTACCCGCGGCTTCGCTCGCGGAGGTGTGGATCAAGTTTGAAGTGATGAATATTAAAACGTTTATTTGTGTTTGTCAGTTCCTTATTTCTCTCTTGCTTTTCTTGTCTATCATTTTTTTGCTTTCTCTTTTTGTCCTCCCTGACTTTTTTTTTATTTATTAACGTCTGATCTCCCACAAATCGTGCCGGCATACAGGCCTGACTAATCCAAGCCACGGGAAGAAGGTGTCAGACGGGACCCCTGGGAGTTCGAATGCCTATGGTTACACAACTTGGGTTGCATAAATGCCTTGAAGTGGCCAGCACCGAGCCAGCCCTCCGCATCCCCTACGCGACCTGTCAGGTGTAATGAGTTGAGATCTCGGGTCAAAGATATTATGTAGCAGCCTCGTTTCTTTCCATCAAATGCAACACCATCTTGCCATGTACGTGCTGTACAATCCTCTCGTCCGCCTCAGTCAGACCTTGTTTGACAAATCGACTCGTCGCCTTGGCGGGCCAAATCCTATCGGTTTTCCTCCCTTGCTCAAATCCGCCTTCATCTCGACCTGTTATTTCTTGCGTCTTCTCCTATTCCACCATCTCCCTTGCAATGTACGTGTCATATCTCCGTCCGCCCAAGTCCTCTATCGCACTTACAATATCTTTTTTTTCTTTTTGCTTCCCTCGGCCAGGCGTTCAACGCATGTCACGGTTCTTTGAGCTGGTACCAAAGGACGTAAAGGCAATGGCATTGTTGAAGGTCCGGATGGTTGCAAGAAATAGCCCGGAGAAAAAGGTACCACCTCTGAAAGGCTTTGTAATTCAGCAAGGGAAGCTTCAATGACCGGCGTTTTGACTCTTAGACAGCAGAGAAGCGTAGATTGGCGATTGTACGTCCAACACACTCCTGCGTTTTCAAAAGAATTGATTAAATTGGTATCAATAAAAAGAGGGAAGAATGTAAATTAGCTGTAGATAATATCGTAGCCGGTTACCTCTGTCCAATGTAAAGCACCACAATGAGAGCAGACCACGCTCATCAATCCCAAGATCATGTACACTGTGTTCTCCTGATCCTTAACAGCTATTATATTTCCAAAAACCCTTAGATCAGCAGGAGCAACAGGGGCAGCAGGAGCAACAGGAGCAGCAGAGGCAACAGGAGCAGCGGGAGCAGCAAGGACCGTAGAAGGAGTAGGAGCAAGAGATTCTGCAACGATCATGCGCTGCCTGCTCATAAGGCAATCCGCATAAGTTGCGCAATGGTGACTAAGTTGTATGCAAGCATTAAATTTCATAGCAGAGGGCTGAGGGGCATTATGCAATGCAATGGCAATAGCTCGCTCATGTTACCTAAATAGGTCGGAATGATTGGCGTTGGGTTGGAACCATGTGTGGCTGCTACAATCATGCGTGACTGGGACAACCTGTGTCAGCCGGCTGTTCTCCTTCAGTATGTCGTCGTAGTTGCTTATGTTATCTAAAGTGCTCGACAAAAATGATCACTCTTTTTGTGAAATCAGCTTTTGTTTTGAAATGCTCATTCACCAATGTTCCGATTAACCCCCAGGTTCCTGTCGTGCATTCTCTTGATTCGTAACCTCTTTCATCACCACTTGTCTTTTTCTGAATGAACTGGCATCGACTCTTCGTCGGAATTGAAATGCCCGATCTCAATTGATCATTTTTGTCATTTGCCATATGTGGCGAGTGATCCCTATGTAAAATATTACATGGGCTTAGCACGGAACAATCTTTTTTTTTAATCCCACAAGCTCAATACACTTTCTACAGATATATTGAAAGCAGTTAAATACAGACGGCGTCAAGTGTGATCTAAAGGTCTATAATACGCGAGACCAGCCTTTCTTAGTAGAGTGTAATATCATCACAATGTGTGAAATCGTGCTAGAGCCGTGTAACAAAATTTACTTTCAGGATATCTTCTATAAATGAATAAAAGTTTCGCAAGTCTCCTATTTTCTAGGTCGCACACCATGTCCTCTGTATTTAACTGCTTTCAATATATCTGTAGAAAGTGTATTGAGCTTGTGGGATTAAAAAAAAAGATTGTTCCGTGCTAAGCCCATGTAATATTTTACATAGGGATCACTCGCCACATATGGCAAATGACAAAAATGATCAATTGAGATCGGGCATTTCAATTCCGACGAAGAGTCGATGCCAGTTCATTCAGAAAAAGACAAGTGGTGATGAAAGAGGTTACGAATCAAGAGAATGCACGACAGGAACCTGGGGGTTAATCGGAACATTGGTGAATGAGCATTTCAAAACAAAAGCTGATTTCACAAAAAGAGTGATCATTTTTGTCGAGCACTTTAGGTCAGCCGTCATCGGCGACAAACTCCAGCTTGCGGTAGTCTTCCCCAAGGAAAAGCGAGGCCGCCAGCGTATCATCAAGTATGTTCACCTGAGCAAGCATAGCGACCAGGCAGTCTGCCCGGTTCACGCCTTCACCATCTATCGTGCGCGCACCATGGCTGCAGATGTCCCGATCCCGCACCCCAAAGATGATAAGCAGTTTATCACTCCACTGTTCCGTCATTCCAACAACCCAGCCAAGCCTTTGTGTTCCACTACGATCTCGGTCTACATGAACACGATCTCGCGTCTTTTTGTCCCTAAGGGCGTCAGGCCACCCAAGCTTCGCGCCCTCGGTTCCACCCTCGCCGCCATGGCCGGTGTCCCTATTCCTGACATCATGGTTCAAGGCAATTGGTCTTCCCCTAGGATCTTCGAGAAGCACTACCGTCTCTCCAGTGTCATCTCGAACAATCTGTCTGTTTCCACGTTGGGGATCCCTCTGGAGCCACATATGGACATAGCACCGTAGACAATGATCAACGAATGTCCTACAAAGGACGGACTATTCGCATTGTCATAGGTGCCATGGACATATGTCCCACCCTCGCCGCCCAGTTTGCTACCGAAAAAGAAGATAAGGAGCATTTTCGGGGTGAGGGATCCATAGCTTTATATATTTTTTTAGTTTAGTTTCGTCGGTTCAAAATTAAAAAGAAGGTAACACATATGTCCATGGCACCTATGACAATGCGAATAGTCCGTCATTTGTAGGACATTCGTTGATCAATAAAAACACTCCTACAGATAATTATGAAAAAAAGAAATCCAGGTAAAGATGTAGTAATGGGTCAGTCCATCTATAAAGCGCTACATCTTGCAGAGCAATCATGCTTCTCGCACATCATCTTCCCTGCATTTCTTTGTTTGGGGTGGTTACCATTCGTCTGATTGTCCTTTTGTATACACCTCCAGATCATTGGCCAACTTGACAACATTAGTGCCATTGTCGCTCGTAATCGACATCACCTTCCCTGCCAACTTAAACCGCTCCACCACTCGCACAAATGCTAACATCAATGCTTGGCCTGTATGGGAGCCGCTCAGATGCTCAAAGCGCAGAATGATGTCTTTCAGCTCCCAGTCATCGTTGATCCAATGGGCTGTAACGGCGAGAAAGGACACTTGAAAGGGGCTGGTCCAGCCATCGAGTGTAAAAGCAACCTTAGAGACCGACTCAAGTTCTTTTTGGATTCGAGCCTCGTACTCGTACTCGTCATATTGTTTTGTCATCCGTTATAAAACAAGAACATGATAATGCAAATGTTAATTGGTTGGAAAAAATGTTCCTTATATGCTCCGCTGTCGGTCGCAGCGGACGTACCCTTCTGGCAATGGTATCATTCGAGGGAAGCTTGAGATCATCAACAGAGGGCGCTGCGTGAGCAAGACGGAGCAAATCACTCAAGAGTTTGGACTCGCCGAACGTGTATGGTAACTTGTGGCGGACAAGAACCTTGCAGAGCTGGCGCTCTAATTCATCCTTCGAAAATTCATCTCGAGTGCGCTTGCCTTGGATGGCGAAGGCGTTTGCGATTGTACCTACTGCGCCGGCGAATGAACCATTTGAATCGTATTGTTCGGACAGTTTGTGGTCCTTCTTGAGGTGGTTGAGGACATTGGTAGTTGATCCAGTGTTGAACGCCCAGCCAGTTTTGTTTGTACAGCCCTTGTACTTACAGTGGATGCGGACGATGCCTGTGGGTCCGGTTCGCTTTTCGGCCCATCGCCATATTCAACTGCCCTTGTCTGTGACCTTGGTTGCATTATTGGCACTGTTCTTGTTCGCGCTCTTGTCCGTGTTTTTATCTGAGTTATTGTCCGCACTCTTGTCCACGTTCCTGTCTACCGCTTTGCCCTTGTTCGAGGTCGTTGCCGAGAGGGCGGGAGAGGGAAGCTCCATGGTAGAGATGGTGGCAGGACTCTGAAGATCCGCGATGGCACTAGAGCTTTTCTGTGCATCACGTTCCAAATCGTTAAGAATCTAATGTAGACATGAAATAAAAACCAACATGGTTGGCATCTTGCCATAGAAAAGTGACTGATGAACTTCATCCACCTGAATTTACATTACATGATCAACGAAACTGGATGAAGAGAATTGCGACATGATCTCACAAGAAGGCGACGACAGGTTGTTGCAAGTAATGTGGCGATGAGGTATATAGGAAAGGGAGGTTGGAGATGGACTGGGTAAAGTGTCAACTGTTTGCTTGTGCAAGGACAACCACGAAAAAAGAGAATCAGATGATGTTCGTCTGGCAGTGATGGTGATGAATCTTGCATCAAGAAGTGGCAAGAAAGGTAAGGACGAAAGAATGAAAAGCTGTAAGAAAGGTAAGGATGAAAGAATGAAAAGCTGTAAGAAAGGTAAGGACGAAAGAATGAAAAGCTATAAGAAAGGTAAGGACGAAAGAATAAGAAGCTGGCGGGTGGGGTGGTAGAGCAGATCCATTGTTTCTTTTTCCCACAGGAGCAAGGGAAGGCAGTGGGTCTAAAAGGCAGGGGTGGTGTAAATGGAAGGAGTTCAATGGGCAACAGCATATGAAAAATTGAAGTGCATAAATGCGCTATACCTTTTATGGAACCGAATTCGAGTCGAGTCGAGTCGAGTCGAATACAACTCGAGTCGAGTCGAGTCGAGCTAAGTCGAATACAACTCGAGTCGAATCGAATACAGGGTGCATTCGATAGCACTCGAATCGAATGGAACCACTATTCGAACTCGAAAAATCGAATCGAATCGAATCGAATCTCGAATATCGAATATTCGTTGAGAAAGTCTACCCCTGACCGTCTTCACACTTTGGCTTTGGGGAGTCCCACTTTCGAAAGTTTTTCATTGCCTATGGAGTCGATCAATGGAGCATAACCAAGGAATTTTTTTGCACCTGGGCGATGTTGACAACCCGGACCCCAAGGACCAGGGACCTGGAGCTAAGGCCTGTCGTAGCTTGCGGAGACTCTTTCACGGGAACGATAGATTGGACATCTCTTCCAGTGAGGATGCGGAGAAGCATCTTACTAGCCTTGCTGGGAGCTTCTCTTCGCTTATCTCAAATAGGAACCGCACGGTGGCATCAAGAATTATGTCGGAGTAAGATGTTTCTCTATCTATCTCCCTCTCTTTCTCAAATGCCAATATCACAATATCTTTTTTTTCATGCGGCACCAAGATGTTTTCCCCTCTCTCTGTCTTTCTTACATATTTTTTATTTGCCTGGTTCTACATGCCATTTCAGCAAGGATTGTTTTTAACTTCGAGTTGAAAGCAACACCCTTGCAAGAGACTTGGACGTGGATTCTTTCTTTTCTCTTTTTTTTTTAGAAAATAAAAGGGTACTGTGAGTTGAAAGAAACACCTTTTGCATCTTTATTGGCCTTAAATTCGAAGGTCGCACATGGCATTTGTAGTTATCAGAGTGAAACTCCGACACGCTGCTACCCAAGCCGTCTTTAATTTCCTCGGCATCAATAGGGCGCATGAGGCTATCCTGATCCTCCTGTGTGAGGGCTGCAAGAGCGGGAAGGTTGGAGAGTAGTTCCTGGACGGCGGCATTGTCGATGGGGTCAGGTGTGTATAGTTTTTGATAGAAGGATTTGCCGATGCGGCACAGATCGTCGGGAGAAGAGACTGTGTCGTCTGAGTCGGGTATTTTGAGGTGGGTGATGGTGCGTTTGGTTGCTCTGGATTTAAGGACGCGGAGGAAATATTTGGTGCACCGTTCGCCGAGTTCTCGCCATTTGAGTTGAGTCCTGACCGCCCATGCGTTCATCGAGGCCTTCTGTAGTTTGTCGAGTCTCCGCTCAGTGCCGTGCCATTCTTCCTCCAGCTTGCGGACCTTCTCCGGGTTCGGGGTGGGTGCACCGCGTTGCCAATTGAGGCGCCGTAGGGCCTGTTCCCGGTCCCGTTGAAGCTTGATCGAGATATCCTGCTTCTTCTTGGACTTCTCTCTCGTCGCCTGCTTGAGTTTCTCCATCAAGGACGCCTTAAGGTGGTCCCACGCATCCTGCGGTTCAAGGTTCCGCATTCTGAGTATGTCCTCCTTGATCTCGGCGGCCAGTTGCTTGGTGTAGTCCTTATCGTGTAAAATCGAAGTGTTCAGTCGCCAGACTCCTGATCCAGTAGCAAGTGCCTCCAGACTCAGCTCGCATGAAAACATCGTATGGTCTGTCCAGTCGTTGTGCAGATACGTGTGAGGGGGCCGTCACACATTCGGCAAGGTCGGGTGACATGAATATGTAGGCAATTGTTGATTGATAATGGTCATTGTTGAAAGTGCGAATGGGGAGTGAGTTGAAGGGGTTAAGTGCGTTGATGGTGTTGTTGATCCAGTCTTTCCATGCGATCGGGGCCGTGTTGCGTAAATGGTGGTGATAGTTGAAGTCCCCCAGAACAATGACATCGTTGCCGGGAGCTTGGAAAAAAGGGAGTTGAAGGAGCTTGGTGTAGGTGTTGCGTGGTGCCTGGTCTCCAGATGTGCATAGATGGTACATACTTCAAACAAAACTTTATCCCCGGTGTCGACTGAGCCGATTGACGCGACGATTGCCCGGCCGTCTCTAAAGACGTAGGACGAAAGAAAAGTAAGTTTGGAGTGCATAAGCAGCAGTGCGCAATGAGGAGTCCAGATGCTGTGGTGAGAGTGTAGGGATTTGTCGAGGTGTTGGATGGTGTCGGGGTCGTTTGGCTGGATACATGTCTCTTGCAACGCCAAGATGTCGATCCTTTGAGTGCTGAGGTATTTGTGAAAATTCCTTGACGCTGTCCGGTTCGTGATCTTGTTAATCGTGCGTGCGTTGAGAGTGGCGATTTTGATTGTCTTTAACATAATTAATTAGTTAGGACGAGTCGCCGATTGCCTGCTCAGCTCACTAGTGTTGTAGGTGCCTCCAAAATGGACTGCCCGCGGGTGACGACTAGTAAATTCGGTGGTTGGGGTTTGGGGGGCATCCGAAAAAATGTCGTCGTCGCTGTCGGAGTTGTCGTCATCCAGAGAGCGGTAAGACCCATTGTTAGGGTTGGTGACACTGCTTGTACCATTCCTGGTTTGGGGTGGTCTAGCTTCCTGAGTAGACTCCTGCAAGGTTGGTGTGACTGGTGTGGCGGGGTTGACAGGCGCAGTGATTGCGGCAAGTGAGGTGGACTCTATACCTTTCATGGAAGATGAAATCTGCGTATTCTTGCGGCGTTTCTTGCTGTTGCGCTTGCGTTGCTGTCTGAAACCTGCTCCTAGTCCAGCAACAATTTCCTTTGGCAATTCTGGGTGGCTTGGCTTTTCGTCCTTTTCGAACAAAACATATCCATCCTGAGTATAGACCTTGCGCTTGGGGTGCGCATGGTAGTACATGCCCGATTTCCTTGGGGTTGCCGTATTTGCTGAAAAGCTGGATAATGTCGGTCGGTTTATAGTGCTGGGGGATGCGCCGGAAGTTGACCTTGTATGTTTGGAACTTGGGAGGTGTTGGGGTGATGGGGTTGTAGGTCGTGTCGTTGACACTCAGTCCGTGCTGTAGAATAACGGCATAGACCATGGGGTCTGCGGGGAGGACCTCGAAGGTTGTGTGGTTTTGGTATTGCTCAGTGAGGTCGTAGGTGTCCATGAGGATCCTGCTGATCGAAAACTCGGCAGTCACCTTGCGGGGAATGTTGAACATGAGCGTGCCTTTCGAGTTTGTGCGGACATGCAGGTTCATTCCTGGCGGCAAAGACTCATCTTGAAAAATAGTCTCGCATTTTTTGGGATAGTCAGGTAAAGGAGAGTTAGGAGAAGGTGTTGAGGGTGATGATCTGACGACATCCGCAAAGGATGTCGCTCTAATGCTGTTTTGGTGGGTCTCGCCCCTCACGTTTGTATCGCCGTGGGACATAGGAAAGAGTTTTTGAATGCCAAGACCTCCTGTCAGAGTTCCACTCTGATTATGTCACGTGACCATGATCCAGAAACGCCGCCAACTTTCTAGATCATTCTTAACTGACTAATCAGACACTCTCTCGAACTATCTAGATGAACCAAGGTGCTAACTTGGTTCCCAAAACGTATAACCTAGTTTAGTCTTCAGTCATTAACTTCAGTCTTTATTAAAAAAACACGTCTAAAGAAATCGTCCCTCGTTCCCTCGTTTACTCGTTCCTGCGTCCCTCTTGTCAAGTTACCTACCTCCCGTCTTGTTACACCTTCGCACAGACTAACGACCAACGATCAGTAACTCAAATTCACGTTACACATGGGGGCAAGGCCTGGGCACGCATCTACAAATGCAGACGCTCACAAAAAACCAAACAGATCCATGTAATCACATGTGCACAGACAAGCGCTCAAACAAAACACCAATCAAAGGTCAGCAACACAAGATAGAATAGTGAACCCAGTTTCAAGTATTTGAGTGACTGTACAAGAAAGGACCCCAGGACCGAGACTTGCGGTCAGGGCAGATTTCCTTTTCTTCGAGCTCTCTCTCTCTCTCTCTCTCTCCACTTCTCTTCCTCTTTACAACCTTCTCTCTCTTTGTTCAACATCATCCTTCATCTCTCACACCAACAACCTTATCACTCTCACTCATCCAACTCAACCTCAACACCAGCAGCAACGAAAAATGTCAAAGTACAACGACGACGGGTATGATGATTCCGATACGTACGAGCTCAACCAGATGCAGGACCGCAGCAATGGCAGCCAGAGCGTCCTCCTGATGGATGCGTCCCAAGACGGTCTCAAGCGCGACCTTCGGCGCCGCCATATGATCATGATCGCCATCACTGGTACTATCGGTACCGGTCTCTTCCTCACTTCTGGTTCGACCATTGCTACTGCTGGTCCCGGCGGTGCCCTTCTTGCCTATGCCCTCATCGGTATCTGGCTCATCTTTGTCATGCAGGCCATCGGTGAGATCGCCACCCTCCTTCCTCTTCCTGGTGCCTTCAACGTCTGGAGTAGCCGTGTCTTTGACGAGGCCTTCTCCTTCCAGATGACTTGGATGTATTTTCTCAACTGGGCATTGACGATTCCCGCACATTTGTCCGCTTCCGCGCTGATTGTGTCGTTCTGGTTGCCCGACGACACGACGTTCCCTTTATGGATTGTGCCTCTGATCATTATCATCTTGATGGTCTTTATCAACATTACTGGTGTTAAGACCTATGGTGAGCTTGAGTACTGGTTCTCGATTCTCAAGATTGTCACCATCATCATCTTTATCGTCTGCGGTATCCTTGTCGATGCTGGTGCTATTGGTGGCCACACCTACGGATTCGAGAAGTGGAGGATCGAGGGTGCTCCCTTCAAGGGCGGCTTTGTGGGCTTCACCACCACCCTGATCACGGTCGGTTATGCCTATGGTGGAGCTGAGATAACCGGTCTCACCGCTGCCGAGTCCCGTAACCCGCACAAGCACGTCCCCAGGGCCATCAACACCGTGTTGATTCGCATCGCCTTCTTCTACATCGCTTCGATCTTCTTGCTCGGATCCATTGTTGCCAACGACGATCCCCTGTTGGTCAACACCGAGAGTTCCGCTACCCGGGCTCCCTTCACCATCGTTCTTGCCAAGGTCGGTATCAGTGGTGCTGCCAACTACATGAACGTCGTCGTCTTCACCTCGGTCTTCTCGGCCATCAACTCTGCCTTCTATGTTTCCACTCGCGTGTTGCTATCACTCTCCCGTAACGGCTGGACCCACAACTCGATCGGCTACATCAACTCACGCGGTGCACCCGTGGTTGCCATCACCGTTGTCACTGCCTGCTCCTGCCTGTCGTTGATCACCATCTTTGTTGGTTCCGGTGTCGTCTTCCAGTGGCTCATCTCGTTCATTGGTTCGATTAGCATCCAGGGCTGGCTCTATATCCTGCTCCTCCACTTCCGCTTCCGCTACTGCTGGAAGGCCCAGGGCCGCGCCATTAGCGATCTGCCCTATGTCGCCTGGGGCTACCCCTATGGCAACATCCTTGGCGCCTTAATTGGCTGCTGCTGCATCGTTTGCAACTGGTACCTGTCGGTCATCAACCCTCCTCAGCACCCTGGTGCTGGTGCCTCGGAGGAGCTGATGAATGCGTACCGCAGCAGACGCGACGTGTATATCCAGGGTATTCTGGGTGCTTGGTTCCCCTGGTTCATGTCTGCGACCCTGTTCTTCTCCTACAAGTACATCTACGGTACCAAGCTCATTAAGGCAGTTGATGCCGATCTCGACACTGGTCGCTTCATTCCCTCCGAGTCTGACAAGGAGGACTTGAAGCCCCACGGCCCTCGCTGGAAGCGTATCCTCAAGATGTTCGTCTAAAAACAGACTGCTTTAATAATCACCTACCACTGGCTGATAAATTTTTTAACCGAATAGAAGTAAATGGTCTCTTCAAAATGAACACTGAGTGTGTGTAATAGCAACAGAAGGAGGGTAGCAGACAAGAGCAGAAGGCAGAAACGGATGGTGTTTGTTGTACAGATAGAGAGGGTATTTATGTGTATAATCTCCGTGTGGATAGGGGTAAGGAATGGTGGGTGAGGAATGGTGGTACAATGGAATAGGGAATAAAGGGTTGAGGTATGTATGTACAATGTTAGTGCATACTATGATCCTGTAACAGTGTGTCTCGAGAAACTGTGGCTTTTCCTTCAGGTTGAAGGGTCGGCCTTGATGCACCCAAGCACTTAACAATGCTGGGTTTCTCTACTTGTCCGTTGTTTTCTCACACGTTTCTTTCTCGATCAAAACAAATGGACCATTGTCTACGGTGCCATGTCCATATGTGACTTCTTTTATTCCTTTTTAACCGACGAAAACTAACTAAAAATAATAAAAGCCCTGGATCCCTCGGTACAAAATGTTCCTTCTCTTCTTTTTTCGTCGCTCACAGGAACACATCCGTAGCAGGCGTATCCCATGAGCGACATTCACACCGACAATGATTTCACCCACCCCTCTCACGATATGGCTTCCGAGGAGGCCACCCACTCTTTATATGACAATTCATCACCTATCCACCCTCCAACAACCATTGATCCGCCCAGGATTCAACAACTGGTCGTCACGCACGAACTCCTTCAACTTGTCCCTTCGTTATCAGGAAACGACTTCTTCGCAGCACCTGATGACCCCAAGCTGGATCACGTTTACACCGCATTATTCTTCCTTGCCAGGGACTCTAGATGTGTGTGTATCTTTCTTTTATTATTGACCGTGACTTCCGAAAAAATTTGAAAATGAAAATGAAAATGAAAATGAAAATGAAAATGAAAATGAAATAAACAAAGGGGACTCTAGGCTATCTCTTGATCTCTATCTTTCTTTTTCACGGCCGGAACACTCTCCCCGAATCTCTGAACGATCCTCCCCCCATGTCCCATGCACCCAATCCTACGGCCCCTGATGTCGACATCGACATTCACACGACCCTTCGCCTTATGCAGGAGCAAATGCAACAACAGCAGGAGCAGATGCAGCAACAGCAAGCCTTCATGCAACAACAACAAAACCTTTTGCAACAACAGCAAGCCAGGATTCAGCAACTGGAAACCGAATCTATCGAGCAGGATGGCAAAGTGGTCCACAAGCCTCGAGTGACCACTCTCAAGCTCTATCAAGAACTCATTGACGTCTATCCAGCCATTGCGGAACCCAAATTCTTCGATTCCGAACTCCCCAAGAACCACGATGTTTTCGAATGGAACGACTTCCATTATACCGAGGGTATGGATTACAAGCCTCCCCCGGTTTTGCAGCACTCCGAGGTGTCACTCGCGGACACAGCCAAGCGACACGAGCGAGATTTGGCAACAATCCAAGGATATCTGGCGCACACGACCCGGTTCTACGACACTTGCGCCCATGAGATTGTCAACTCGGGAAAAGTCGACATGGAACATATACTCAGTTTCCTCAACACGGTACGCATCTCCACATCCCACGACGCTTCCAGGATCAGTCGGATGCGAGAAAACCTTTACCTCGACGAACTCGGCATCAAGCATGGAAACGACAAGGAGGAATCTCTTTTCACTTTGGAATCACTGGCTGCCAAAAAGGCAGCCGCTGATCTGGTTCGAAAGACATACAAGAAATACGAACCTCCCAAGGACAGGACCAAGAAGCCTGACAACAAATTTACCAAGGACAAATCTGGAACAGGCGACAAACCCAAGGATCAACAGTCGGGCAAGTCGCAATCCAAGGATAAGTCAGGATACAAATCCGACAACGGCAAGTCGGGTTACAAGTCGGGTTACAAGTCGGGTTACAAGTCGGACGGAGGCAAGTCTGACGGCAAGTCTCGGTACAAGTCTGGTGGCGGTCAAGGCAGGAAGCAACCAGACCAGGGAAACGACGGGGAGAAGTCGGATTAGTAGGAGGACGACTTCTCCGGTTCCAGGAGGCATGGAGAGAGATGACGGATTCGACCTGGGTCAACAACATCATCAAGTCGGGCTACAGCATCATTTTCGACCGACCTCCACCATTGCGCCTACCGCCACTGCACGATCCGTTCAATTCACTAGAGGATCAGATAGCCATAGACGTAGAAGTCCGTTCTTTATTACAAAAAAGGGCTATCGAAGAATGCAGCGGGAAGGGATTTTACAGTCGTATCTTTACAATTCCCAAGAAAACAGGGGATCTACGCCCAGTGTTGAACCTACGTCCACTCAACCAGTTCTTGACAGCACCCAAGTTCAAGATGGAGACCCTCAACAACATTTGCAGGATGCTCAAACCCGGCGACTGGCTTACGAGTATCGACCTCAGCGACGCATTCCTGCATGTGGCAGTCCATCCGGCATCCCGCAAGTACCTCCGCTTCAGATGGGGAGCGGCATCATACCAGTTCCGAACTCTGCCTTTCGGACTTTCACTTTCCCCCTTCGTATTCACAAAAATCGTTCGTCCGATTCTCAAGTGGGCGAGGGAGAAAGGGATCAGGATCTCGGCATATCTCGACGACATCCTCATCGCAGCCAGGACCAAGGAGGAGGCCAAGGAGCACACTCGTCTGGTTCGGGAGCAACTGGAAAAGCTTGGGTTCCTTATCAAAGTCGCCAAGTCAACACTCGACCCTACCCAAAGTATCGACCATCTTGGGTTCAGGATCAATACCGACAACATGTCCCTGTCGGTTCCGAGGCCAAAAGTCCGCGACCTGCGCAGGGAAGCGGAGAAGCTGATCAGAGCAGGGACGGTTCAACTTCGGCGGCTGGCGGCGTTTATCGGGAAGGCGATCGCGATGACAGTGGCGGTCTTTCCGGCTCGACTGAGGACGAGGAATCTGATTCAGGTTCAGAATGCAGCTCTGGCCAAGGAATGCAAGTGGACGGACCCAGTTACATTGGACACGGCGGCACTAGAGAATCTCAACTGGTGGCGATCTCATCTGTCGGAATGGAACGGTTAGGGATTCTTGCCTCAGAGGACAGAGGTCGATGTCTACACCGATGCCTCGGAGGATGCATGGGGAATTGTGATCGAGGACAAGGAAATGTCCAGGACATGGAACGCATCAGAACAACCACACCATATCAATTGGAAGGAGCTGCGGGTCATTTGGCACTTGGTCCACCTTCCAGAAATGATCGGGAAGACAATTCATGTTATTTGCGACAACATGACAACAATCGCCCAGATCAACAAATTCGGCGGGACGAGATCTCAACCACTACTCGATCTGACAACCAAGGTATGGAACTACTGCATGGCGACGGGCACACGACTCAAGACGACATACGTTCCCTCACAGTTCAATCCAGCCGATGCACCCTCCAGGAGGATGGTGACGCAGTTGGAGTGGTCGATCGACACACCATTCTTCCAGCAACTCGAGTCGATATGGGGTCACCACCACATCGATTTATTTGCAACAACAACGAACGCCAAAGTTCCTCGATACATCTCATGGAAACGGGAGGAATCCGCTTGGGGTCAGGACGCATTCAACAGCTGCTGGGCCAACATGAACAGAGTCTACGCGTGTCCGCCGTGGTCGCTGATCAGCAAGGTCCTGCAGAAGATCAAGCAGGACAAGGTCAAGGCAACGGTCATCACGCCATTCTGGACGAGCGCGCTCTGGTACCCTACGATCACAGCCATGTCAGTCGACAAGCCTCTTCGGATTCCGAGGAACCAAGTCTTGCCAGCCCCCGGGAACAGCCCACACATCCTCGAAAAGAATCCAATGTGGTCACTCTCAGCATGGAACGTCGACGGCAACAAGCAGTAGACAAGGGTGCAGGAACAGGAGTCCTTGCCAAACTATTCGACTCAAGGGCAGCACAAACACGCCGCAAGAGACGAGTTCCCGGACAACAAGCGTTCACCCAGTGGATGCAGGATCATGGTCGGGACCCTCTCAATCCATCGGCCATGGACCTTATGAACTTTCTCGACTACGGACTAGAAGAGAAAAAGTGGAAGCTCACAACAGTTCACACTTACAAGTCGGCCATCCTACAGCTCCTTCCCATCGACAAACAGCTGGAGATCAAGGAAGACGAACTCTTCAAGGATTTTTTGAAGGTGATGGGCTCAGGCACCTTCAAGCGACTCCACAACGCCATTGTGGATCTGTCCCCGATCTTGACTGGTCTTCAAGCGCTCGGCGATAACCACAGTATGGACATCAAGGACCTCACCGCCAAGACATGCTTCCTCTTGGCTACATGCGGTCTCCTACGCTCGGACGATCTGGCCTGCACGGATGCGTCCCAATGCAGGATCAACGGAGACAAGCTGGAACTCATAGTCGTATTCCCCAAGGAACACCGAGGAGGCCAAAGGATCATCAAGACTGTCGTCGTCAAACCACACCCAGTCGAGTACTTTTGCCCAGTCAAAGCTTATGTCGAGTATCGGCGACGTACTTCGGACCAGGATCGCTTCGCCAGGACGACACACCCCAAGGCCGAGTCAGTACCTTTCACTCCTCTCATCCGAAGAGTGAATAAAGCCAACCTGGGGTTAGGCAGCGAACGGATCTCCAAGTACATCCAGGAGATCATGAAGCTGATGCCACGAGACGACACCCAGCCAGCATACAAGGCCCGAGCAGTGGGCACCACAGCCGCGCTGGAGAAAGGAATCCCATTGGACGGCATTGTCACACACGGCAATTGGTCATCCCCAGCCATTGTGGAAGCGTTCTACAGGATCTCGCGATCCCTTGCGAACAACTTCACCACAGCCATTCTGTCCTAACTCTGGATCCACAGATAGAGTCCCTGGCAAGGAAGAATAATGGTTAGCGTTGCCGAATGTAATGACGGCTAAAGCCTATTATTCGACAACGCCAGGGACTCTAGATGTCCCACCCAACCCGCCCTTTCTAGCAAGTAGATAGAGATCAAGAGATAGCCTAGAGTCCCCTTTGTTTATTTCATTTTCATTTTCATTTTCATTTTCATTTTCATTTTCATTTTCATTTTCAAATTTTTTCGGAAGTCACGGTCAATAATAAAAGAAAGATACACACACATCTAGAGTCCCTGGCGTTGTCGAATAATAGGCTTTAGCCGTCATTACATTCGGCAACGCTAACCAAAACTTTACTGCGCCAAGAACCCGCTGCAACAATACTCAGCACCAGGTTGGGATCTTCCCTGGCCTGCCAATCAACAAGGCTCCCATTATCACTTTGAACGGGCCCTCTGCAGGATTCTGGAACGGATTACCGACTCCACTCGGCCTATTGACGAATTCGCAGCGGAGTTTATTACCAGAGGCACTGACGTCACTGTACGAAAGGATGTGGCAGAGTTTCTGCACATTGTACGCTCCCAGCAGGCTCTCATTGCCAGAGACATTCAACAGTTACGCCGCGAAAATTTCCTTCGCCCCAAAGGATTGCAGCCAGCACTAGAGAAGAAAAAGGGCGTTACCATCTCCAAGGACACAATCAATGCTGATATTCAAGCCGCAGAGGAATATGCCAAAGCTCAGCCACCCAAGAACAACAATACCCAAGGAGGGGCACAAGGAGGAGGCAGAGGCCACAGAGGTGGTCGTGGCCGTGGCGGCGGCGGGCGCTTTTCGGTCAATATCAACAACAGCCTCAGTACCAGCAATAGCCACAGTACTATCAGCAACAGCAACAGCCCTATGTTGCGTCGTATCAACAACCAGCGCATTATCAACAACAACCGCCCATCGCCTTCCAACCCCAAGGATTCGGCGATTTCAGCGGATTTGGACAGCAACCCCCACAGGGTTTTCGCGGGGGTCACGGCGGACGGGGCCGAGGCCGCGGCCAGACCTTCCAGTAGGAGGACGCCTTCAGGCCTTTCTCCCGGCCTGGCAGGAGCTTACAGACGATTCTTGGGTTCTCAACGTGGTGGGAGAAGGGTTTCAAATACCATTTCATACCACACCACCGGTCACCTACCAGCAACAGCGGCAGTCCCCAATGTCGCAGCAGGACGAGACGGCAATCGAGGAGGAGATTCAGGCCTTACTCGACAAGGGAGCCATCGAGCCCGCAGCAGGCGCTGGCTTTCGCAGCCGCTTGTTTACTATCGTCAAGAAGACAGGAGATCTGAGACCTGTGCTCAACCTTCGCCCACTCAATCAGTACGTGGAGCCAGCCTCGTTCAAGATGGAGAGCACCAAGATGGAGAGCACCAAGATGATATGTGCGATGATTCGAAAAAAGGACTTTTTGACATCCATAGACCTGAAAGATGCTTTTCTTCATGTTCCGATAGCAGCTTCTCACCGTCACTTTTTGCAGTTTGTATGGAAGTGCAACAGGCGAAGACTGGGACAGAGAAGTATAGAACGGGGACGAGAGTTGAAGCAGTGATGATTGATGTTATTACTATGATACAACTAAATATATATACAAAGTCGCCAACTAGGTTTCTAGGTGTAGTGTCATACAAAGTCAGAGGTGACAGAGGGTGACAGGGAATGACTAACTAGAGAGCAATAGTAAACCTAATATATTGCAGGAAGAACCAGGTTTACCAGTTCAAGACACTTCCTTTCGGCCTATCATTATCACCCCTGGTGTTCACAAAGGTTCTTCGACCGCTGTTACGGTGGGCTCGTCGCCGCGGGATCAGGATCACCGCTTATCTCGACGACCTGCTCATCATGGCACGGACAGAGGAACAGTCGCGGAGGAACACACAACTGGTATGGGACAAACTAGCCGAACTGGGCTTCATCGTCAACAAGGAGAAGTCGTCGATGGAACCTACACAGAAGCTGGATCATTTGGGCTTTTCATTCGACACCCGCAACATGACACTCTCCGTCCCCAAGAACAAGCTGCGGGATCTTCGTCGGGAGGCAACGAAGATGCTCAACAAGGGCCACACAACCCTGAGAAGTCTGTCCTCATTCGTTGGAAAGGCCATGGCAACAACCTTGGCAGTCTTTCCGGCACGTCTCATGACGCGCCACCTTCTCGCCCTCAAGAACTCGGCACTGAAGCGGTCAGGAGCCCAGTGGACGGATACAGTTATCCTTACGGCCCAAGCGGAGGAGAACTTGTCTTGGTGGATATCGAGCCTGCGCGAGTGGAACGGGACGTCATGGCTTCAAACACCACCGGACTTGGATGTGTACACGGATGCTTTCGACAAGGGTTGGGACATCGTCATTGGAGGCAAGACACGGAGCGGCCTTTGGTCCCAGGAGGAGCTTCAGCAACACATCAACTGGAAAGAGTTACAGACAGTGTTCCTAGCCTTGACATTACCAGAGACCCAGGGGCGCATGGTCAATCTGGCCATCGACAATACCTCGACAATCGCCTACATCAACAAATTTGAAGGAACGAGGTCAGCACCGTTGATGGAGGCAGCGGACAGGATCTGGCGTCACTGCCTGGTAACCGGAACACGCCTACAGACGACGTATGTACCTTCGTCATTCAATCCAGCAGACTCACCCTCGCGGCAACTTCAGGAACAACTGGAGTGGAGTTTACACCCTCAGTTCTGTTAGGATCTGGACCGGTGGTGGGGTCCCCACCAGGTCGACATGTTTGCATCAGCGACCAACACCCAGCTTCCGCACTTCATATCATGGCGCCCACACCCAGCAGCGATAGCAACGGATGCCTTTCGCCACAGTTGGAGGAGATTGGGGAACCTATACCTATGCCCTCCGTGGAACCTTCTCCCTCAGGTCCTTCAGCGTCTATGTCAGGAGAAACTGGACGCAACCATCATCACCCCCTTCTGGCCGTCGGCGTCGTGGTTTCCGACAGTACAAGCAATGGCAATCTGTCCCCCAGTTCCAGTTCCCCGAGCAGCGGTGCTACCCCCTCCAGGAAGCGCAAGGCTAGTACTCGACAAGAACCCTCATTGGGCTCTCTCGGTGTGGAGAGTAAGCGGGCGCATCTGATTCACAAGGGTCTCTCCGAGGAGGCTACGGTCTTCATCTCCGACAACGTCGCCGTTACCAGGACACGACAGCGGTACGAACCAGCACAGCAGGAGTTTCAGCAGTGGCTCAAGGATGGATCATACGAGCAAGGCGTCAACCCAGCCATCGTCGTCGTCAATTGGCTCTGCCACGTCATGGCCGCCAAGATACTACAGTGGTCCTCAGTCCTCAATCGAAAAGCGGCAATTCTTGCCTTGTTTCTCCAACCAGAAGTTGTCACGTCCGATCCAGTCTTTCAATCCTTCCTCAAGGCAGGCCATAGCCTTGGCTTTGGAGGCCTTTCACGTCCAAGTTATCATATGGTGTTTGTTACATCTCTGTAGATCTCGACAATATCCATAGCGACTATGGGATGAGAATGTATATATGATACCAAGCATATAAGACAACCATTGTAACATTTTTTGTTCAACTATCCTACTAAACACCAATCTATTCTCCAAACAATAAAGTCTTCTTATTTTTCGCACACCAAACTCTTGAATATGTCCATCTACTATTAACCTGTAACCCTCACTGCAAGATTCGCCAGAGTAGTTCTTGTATGTGAGCATCTAAAGCACTTGTACTCTCAACTGTATCTTTGTCGTGAAATACAGGGGAGAGATTACATTTTAAAAATTCTTGTGCTGTCTATTGGATAGCGTTGCCGAATGTATTGTGCATTTCACATAAAATGTTTTGTTTTGGCCACTAAACCTCAATTAGCCAGCTATTCAGAACAACATTTTTGTTCCACGTCCATGCAAACCCCGTTCGCAACTGGATTAGTGGTTAATTTTTTTTACTCATTTTGGTTGAAAGGCACAATAATGACGGCTAAAGCCTATTATTCGATTATTCGACAACGCCAGGGACTCTAGATGTGTGTATCTTTCTTTTATTATTAGCCGTGACTTCCGAAAAAAAAAAAAAAAATGAAAATGAAAATGAAAATGAAAATGAAAATGAAAATGAAAATGAAAATGAAAATGAAAATGAAAATGAAAATGAAAATGAAATGAAATGAAAAATGAAAAATGAAAACAAAATAAAGGGGACTCTAGGTGATCTGTTGATCTCTATCTACTTGCTAGAAAAGGGCGGGTCGGGTGGGACATCTAGAGTCCCTGGCGTTGTCGAATAATAGGCTTTAGCCGTCATTACATTCGGCAACGCTATCCATTATTCTTCCTTGCCAGGGACTCTATCTGTGGGTTCAGAGTTGAGGAAATATGGCTGCGGCGAAGTTGCTTGTTAGAGATCGCGAGATCCTGTAGCACGCTTCAACAATGGCTGGGGATGACCGACAGCCGTGTGTGTCAACGTCGTCCGGCGGGATCTCCTTCTTTAGCGCGGCGGTAGTGCTCAAACATCCGGGTGCTCCCTTCTCTACTGCCTGTTGCCGTCGACGTTCCAGGCCGAGAGCGACCACATTGGATTCCTCTCGAGGATGTGTGGACTGTTCCCCGGAGCTGGTAAGACTTGGTTCCTCGGGATCCGTAGAGGCTTGTCGACCGACATGGCTGTGATCATAGGATACCAGAGCGCGCTCGTCCAGAATGGAGTGATGACCGTTGCCTTGACCTTGTCCTGCTTGATCTTCTGGAGGACCTTGGTGATTAGCGACCACGGTGGACACGCATAAACTCTGTTCATGTTGGACCAGCAGCTGTTGAACGCGTCCTGGCCCCAGGCGGTTTCCTCCCGCTTCCATGAGATGTATCGAGGAACTTTGGCGTTCGTTGCTGTTGCGAATAGGTCGATGTGGTGGTGACCCCATATCGACTCGAGGTTTTGGAAGAATGACTTGTCGATCGACCACTCCAGCTGTGTCGTCATCCTCCTGGACGGTGCATCTGCTGGATTGAACTGTGAGGGAACGTATGTCGTCTTGAGTCGTGTGCCCGTCGCCATGCAGTGGTTCCATATCCTGGTCGTCAGGTCGAGTAGTGGTCGAGACCTCGTCCCGCCGAATTTGTTGATCTGGGCAATGGTTGTCATGTTGTCGCAAATAACATGAATGGTCTTCCCGATCGTTTCTAGAAGGTGGACCAAGTGCCAAATGACCCGCAGCTCCTTCCAGTTGATGTGGTGTGGTTGCTCCAATGCACTCCATGTCCTGGACATCTCCTTGCTCTCGATCACAATCCCCCATGCCTCCTCCGAGGCATCGGTGTATGCGTCGACTTCCGTCCTCTGAGGCAAGAATCCTTGACCGTTCCACTCCGAAAGATGAGATCGCCACCAGTTGAGATTCTCTAGTGCCGCCGTGTCCAATGTAACTGGATCCGTCCACTTGCATTTCTTGGCCAGAGCTGCATTCTGAACCTGAATCAGATTCCTCGTCCTCAGTCGAGCCGGAAAGACCGCCACCGTCATCGCGATCGCCTTCCCGATAAATGCCGCCAGCCGCCGAAGTTGAACAGTCCCTGCTCTGATCAGCTTCTCCGCTTCCCTGCGCAGGTCGCGGACTTTTGGCCTTGGAACCGACAGTGACATGTTGTCGGTATTGATCCTGAACCCAAGATGGTCGATACATTGGGTAGGATCTAGTGTTGACTTGGCGTTCTTGATAAGGAATCCAAGCTTTTCCAGCTGTTCCCGAACCAGATGAGTGTGCTCCTTGGCCTCCTCCTTGGTCCTGGCTGCGATGAGGATGTCGTCAAGATATGCCGATATCCTGATCCCCTTCTCCCTTGCCCACTTGAGAATTGAACGCACGATTTTTGTGAATACGAAGGGGGAAAGTGAAAGTCCGAAAGGCAGGGTTCGGAACTGGTATGACTCCGCTCGCAGATGGAATCTCTGTTTGCAGACCTTGGTTCCACATTTGAGAAACACAACAACCGTACTCCTGTGTTGGTGGATAAGAAACAAACATATAATTTGCAGTTGAAGTTATCTTTGTTACTCTTAAACATGAAAAAGATGGTTGCTTTGTTGAAGATTTCTGCAGAACCAATTCATACAGCTTGGCTTCGCGAAGGATTCGAGTATCCGACGACAGAGAACGACGTTGAGCAACCAATGGGATATGTTGATGTTGGTGCGCTAGTGGAGGATGGAAATACAATGGCACAACTCCAGAACAAATTTCTTGGTATTAATCTTCATGGTGATGTTGATGTTAATGTTGATGAGGACACACCAATGGATCAAGCAGTAATAATGCAACCCGGTCTTTCCATTGAGCTTAGAGGTACGAAGCGACAAATGGATGTTAATGGTAATCTGTAGACTTATTGCAGGTTTTTAAAAGAATAGACATACATGGCCTATTTAGTCAGCTTTAAGATACGGTATTAACTGCCAAGACGCTAATATGCACCGGTATCTATTATTAAAAGCCATGGTATTATTGTAGTAGATCGGATGCTATTCTATGCTATTCTACAGCATTCCTTTTTATTTAACACAGAGGATAAACACATGTACAAACCTACGTCATAAAATAATACTACATTCTTAACCATTTTTAAACCCCGTCTTTAATGCCAAGCAGTCTTAATAAGCAAGATCTACGTCATACGAGGAACACTACATTATTAACCACTTAGATGCCTTTTTAAAACTCTTTTGTTACTAAGCGCCAAGCAGTGCTAATAAGCAAGCGCTATTAATGTCCATTGTGGCAGTGTTCCTGAATTAGTATAAATAAAGGAGTCCACTTCCCTCTTGCTTAATCTTTATCTAGTAACCAACCAACAATTATCCATATCTATACAACCATCCATACCTATACAACCATCTTTTATTGCAATTCTTTATATCAGTGTACTAAGCAGCTGCAATCTACCACACATAAACTGAAAACTCATTCACACCCACCATACCACAAGTACAATCCATATTATTCATATCCAAAAACATGAAGTACGTTCAGCTTACAATCGAGCTCATCACCAAGGCCTTTGAGACATTCTCCTCTAAGAAGGGAGTGGAGTTTAACAAGAAAGATGCAAATAAGATCTTTAAGGCGCTTGATGAGGATGAGGAAGTAGAGAGATACTACTTTTGTGGAGAAAAGTGCACCAAGTCCAAGCGCAAATGCATGAAGGAAGTTGATGATGAAGGCATGCATTGTTATGTCCACGATCCTGCGCGCAAGTGTCAAGGCACAACTATTAAGGGTGCTAATTGTGGTAGTGTAGCCAAACTTGGTCAAACATACTGTGGACGTCATCAAGATCAAGATAGAGGTTATATAAAACGTAGTAACAACAACGCACCTGTCGACAAGCGTACTAAGTCTTCCAAGGCTTTAAAGAAGACACATACTTCTAAGTTTGTGTCTTCCGATGACGATATGACTTCCGAGGATGAAGAACCAAAGAAGCGAAAGAGAAACAAGCAGGAGTCATCGGATGAAGAGCCGTCCGATGATGATGATGAAGAAGATATAATTGCCGTCTCCTTTCCGTTGAGTCCAAAGGTAGTTGACATAACGTCCAAGAAAAATGTACCACTCGCTAATACATGTATATGGACGCGTTATGCAACTAATCCAGCTTTCCTGTATGCAAAAAGCTTTACTGTAAATGGCAAGTACATTATTAGGCTAAAGGAAAAGAATCTCTACATTGCATTGTGTCCACCTAAGCTCATGGGCAAGAATCTCCCTGCGCCAGAAATATCTGAGAAAGAGGCACGCATATTGGCCAAGATGGGTCTTCAAGAGGCAACTTCAGCAGATGTAGAAAAAATAGAAGAGTCTTCTGCTGATGAGAATTCTGACGATGATACAGATGATGGTGATACGTCTGATAATGCTGACTCTGAGGATGATTCCTCTAAAGATAAAGACTCTGATGATGGCAAGTCCAATAACAGACCTGATGTAGAATCTGGAGATGATACCTCTAAGGATAACCCTGATGAAAAACTATCTCATAAAAAGCCATCTAAGGATGATGAGAAGAAGACTTCTCGAAAGAAAAGGCATTCAGAGATGCCCAAAAATGCAGAGCCATCTTCTAATGTAGATGTTTCTAAGGATGAAAAAGATGAACACACATTTGCACTGGCCACAACGGTGCGTAACATTAGATCAGAGAAAGACATACCACTTGCAAAGGATGGAGGATGGATGGTTCATCCTAATAACGACATGCTTGAGTATGCAACTAACTTTACGATGAAGGCTAAGTACATTGTCAAGCTATGTGGAAAGAATACATACGTTGGCCTGTTTACGCTTGATCATCTGCGTGGCGGTGGTGATGTTCCAGAGATGGATATCTTGGAACGCTCCATGCTTAGCAAGATGAAACTTCAAGAAATGTCTGATGAAGAGAGAAAGATGCTTTTCAACGAGGAGGTCGAAGTAGAAGAGGAACTACCAGTGGAAGGACCGACAGATATATCCAAGATGAAATGGAAAAGGTTTCACAAGCAGCAATTGGAGTATTCCAAGAATGTACTTGTAAATGGAAAGCACATTCTCAAGATCCGCAAGCAAAACATTGTAGTTGGCTTGGTGACTGATGACCACATTGGTGCAGAGAATGTCGACTATGATAATCTTAACCAAAAGGAAAAAGAAAAGATCTTTGCTATGGGCTTTAAGCCACAATGGTCTAAGGATAGGTCGACAGAGAAAGGTGAACCGGTAGAAAAAATAGATGATGAGGTGCAAGAGTCGAATATTAAGGAAACTTTAGATGAACTTGTAGAAAAAGTAGATGATGAGGTGCAAGAGTCGGATGTTAAGAAAACTCTAGAAGATGGTGGACCTATGGAAAGCGAAAATGTGAATGCCTCAAGTGTTTACACTACAAAAGACCATCATGATTTTCTGAAGGCAATGGGAGAAGTATATAGCAAAATAACAGCTATCGAAGAAGAACTCCGCGAGGAATACGTTTCGGCAGATGGTAATGCAGAAGAAAAAGAACTAATTTTTCACCTAGGTTTGTTGGAGAAAGATTATTCCAACTACGAAACATGGCACATGGATAAGTTTGGTTCCCGCGAACCACATTCCGATATATTATGTAAGTTTGCAAAAGAAGGATCTAACAACAGAAAAACCATAGTGCAAAGTGTATTAGATAGTATTCAAGCCAAAGAGAAAAGTACGATGGAAGAAAAGAAGCCTCTTGAAGTAACATTTGAGACCGCAGAAGAGTAGATCAAGAATTTTAAAAACTGTAGATATACCACTTGCACAAATAAAGCTTTTATATATGGAATACACATGTAATATTATCCTCGTCCCTTCCAATGAGATTCACCAGATATATTACCCATCTTTTTAAAAACTTCCACCATCCTTTGCACAATTTACAATATTTCTTTCTTGATCACAGTGGTGTTTATCCACAATCTACTTATATTTAACATTACGAAAATTACAATAACTATATCTAATATGTTCTACAATGCATGCACTCTTTATGACATTTATTTTTTCACCATTGGCATGTTTACCAACGATCTGTATAGGAGGCCGCATATCAACAAATATTATAACAATCGTAACTTCCTACAAAGTATGTTACATCAAACATTATAAAAACCACGATAACTTCATCTGAGACGTTCCACAATGCATGCACCCTCACCATTATTGCATTACCCATATTTTTTTAAAACATTCACCTAGGAGGCCTTTCAGGTCCAAGTTATCATATGGTGTTTGTTACATCTCTGTAGATCTCGACAATATCCATAGCGACTATGGGATGAGAATGTATATATGATACCAAGCATATAAGACAACCATTGTAACATTTTTTGTTTAACTATCCTACTAAACACCAACCTATTCTCCAAACAACAAAGTCTTCTTATTTTTCGCACACCACACTCTTGAATATGTCCATCTACTATTAACCTGTAACCCTCACTGCAAGATTCGCCAGAGTAGTTCTTGTATGTCATCATCTAAAGCACTTGTACTCTCAACTGTATCTTTGGGGCGAAATACAGGGGAGAGATTACATTTTAAAAAAACATGTGCTGTCTATTGCTATTTTATTCTGTGTTCTGTTGCCCACTATGAAGAGATATGTCAGTTATGGAAGTAAACACTCCGTTCCTTGGGCTTTGGATATTTTTTATATGCCTTTTTATATCCTCTGCACATGAAGGGGCCGCTACATCTCCCTCGGTGACGTCATTACGCGCATTTCTGAGATGAGAACTGGTTACGCCTCTATCCAAGCCGGCGACGGCATCAACCACCAATACTGGACTTCCGGAGGGCCTGCGACCATGACCGCTCTCCTGGAGATTGAAGCTTGCCTCAAGGCCGTCACCCGCATCTCACAATCCCTCATATCTCTAGCTGATGACTTCCACCGCTACCCCCCCGCCCCTATCCCTTCGCCTAGCCACCCTGCGGTTATCTCCCTGATCTCAGCTCAGACTCGCCTCCAAGATCGTGACCCAACGCTCACCAATATCAAATGCAGCCTCGATGAAGCTGTCGAGAATCTAGAACGGGTCAAGAGTAACCTTTTCTTGATGGCAGGGACAAATGTAGGAAAGATATAAGGACAAAAGAAAGAGTGCAGGGAGAGTGTCGCGTACCACACCATAGCATGGCATCCTACACTAGTGTCGCGTCGTTGTTGCGTCTTAGGCATCAAGGAGGCGTATGATCCACAAGTGTCCTACAGAGGACGGACTACTTACATTGTCATAGGTGCCATGGACATATGTATGACTTTTATTCCTTTTTAACCGACGAAAACTAACTAAAAATAATAAAAGCCCTGGATCCCTCGGTACAAAATGTTCCTTCTCTTCTTTTCGACAGCAAGGGTGGTGAGGGCGGGACATATGTCCATGGCACCTATGACAACGCAAGTAGTCCGTCCTCTGTAGGACACTTGTGGATCATTGTCTACGGTGCCATGTCCATATGTGACTCCAGAGGGATCCCCAACGTGGAAACAGACAGATTGTTCGAGATGACACTGGAGAGACGGTAGTGCTTCTCGAAGATCCTAGGGGAAGACCAATTGCCTTGAACCATGATGTCAGGAATAGGGACACCGGCCATGGCGGCGAGGGTGGAACCGAGGGCGCGAAGCTTGGAAGGTCTGGTACCCTTGGGGACGAACAGCCGAGAGATTGTGTTCATATAGACGGAAATGGTGGTGGATACAACCTGTTCGGTAAGCTTCCTGGAGTTGCGAAGTAGAGGAACGATAGAGTGGGCCTTGTCCTTGGGGTGCGGCACCGAGATATCCGCGGTCTTGGTGCGTGAGCGGTAATCGATATAGGCCTGTACGGGGCAGATCGCCAGGTCCTTGTGTCGACTGAGGTGGACATACTTGATTATCCTCTTTCTGCCACGTTTTTCCTTAGGGAAAACGACTGCCAGCTGTAGCTTGTCGCCAACGATGTCGGACTTGGATATATCCGTGCAGAAGATGTCTTTGGGGCGCATAAATCCGCAGACGCCTAATAGCCATGATAGCTTCTTGGCCAACTCCGTCAATGGTAGGGCTTGATTGTTGGGGCTGGACCGAAAGAAAGTGAGAACCGGGTCGATCGAGTAGATCTGGTGCTTGGTATCAACAAAGCGGCCCCTTCATGTGCAGAGGATATAAAAAGGCATATAAAAATATCCAAGGCCCAAGGAACGGAGTGTTGACTTCCATAGCTGACATATCTCTTTATAGTGGGCAACAGAACACGGAATAAAATAGCATTATTCTTCCTTGCCAGGGACTCTATCTGTGTGTATCTTTCTTTTATTATTAGCCGTGACTTCCGAAAAAAAAAAATGAAAATGAAAAATGAAACAAAATAAAGGGGACTCTAGGTGATCTGTTGATCTCTATCTTTCTTTTTCACGGCCGGAACACTCTCCCCGAATCTCGGAACGATCCTCCCCCATGTTCCATGCACCCAATCCTACGGCCCCCAATGTCGATATCGACATTTACACGACCCTTCGCCTTATGCAGGAGCAAATGCAGCAACAGCAACTCCTTTTACAACAGCAACAAGCCAGGATTCAACAACTGGAAGCCGAATCAGTCGAACAGGACGGCAAAGTGGTCTGCAAGCCCTGAGCAACCACTCTCAAGCTCTACGAAGAACTCCTCAACATCTATCCAGCCATCGGGGAACCCAAGTTCTTCGATTCCGAGCTTCCCAAGAACCATGACGTTTTCGATTGGAACGACTACCATTACACCGAGGGTATGGATTACAAGCCTCCCCCAGTTTTGCAACACTCCGAAGTGCCCCTCACGGATGCAGCCAAGCGACACGAACGTGATTTGGCAACAATCCAAGGATATTTGGCACACACAACCCGGTTCTACGACACTCTCGCCCATGAGATCATCAAAAATAAGGAATCCGACTCGGCTCACGGCAAACGTACGCTCGGTTTCCTCAACACCGTACGTATCTCAGCATCCCACGACGCTTCCAGGATCAGTCGGATGCGAGAGAACCTTTACCTCGACGAACTCGGTATTAAGCATGGAAACGACAAGGAGGAATCCCTTTTCACTTTGGAATCACTGGCAGCCAAAAAAGCAGCCGCTGATCTGGTTCGAAAGACATACAAGAAATACGAACCTCCAAAGGACAAGACCAAGAAGCCTGACAACAAGTCTGCCAAGGACAAGTCAGCAACAGACGACAAACCCAAGGACCAGCAGTTGGGAAAGTCGCAACCCAAGGACAAGTCAGGATATAAATCCGACAACGGCAAGTCGGGTTACAAGTCGGACGGAGGCAAGTCTGGTAGCAAGCCTCGGTACAAGTCTGGTGGCGGTCAAGACAGGAAGCAACCATACCAGGGAAACGACGGGGAGGAGTCGGATTAGTAGGAGGACGACTTCTCCGGTTCCAGGAGGCATGGAGAGAGATGACGGATTCGACTTGGGTCAACAACATCATCAAGTCGGGCTACAGCATCATTTTCGACCGACCTCCACTACTGCGCCTACCACCGCTACACGATCCGTTCAATTCACCGGAGGAACGGACGGCTATCGACGAAGAGGTCCGTACTTTATTACGGAAAAAGGCTATCGAAGGTTGCAGCGGGAAGGGATTTTACAGTCGTATCTTCACTATCCCCAAGAAGACGGGAGACCTACGCCCAGTGTTGAACCTACGTCCACTCAACCAGTTCTTTGACAGCACCCAAGTTCAAGATGGAAACCCTTACCAACATTTGCAGGATGCTCAAACCTGGCGACTGGCTTACGAGTATCGACCTCAGCGATGCGTTTCTACATGTGGCAGTCCATCCAGCATCTCGCAGGTACCTCCGCTTCAGATGGGGAGCGGAAACTACCAAAGGTGGTATTGTATAACGCTTCTTCCTGTGTAAGTTCCTTGTTCTTCTGTTTACGGTATGGATGAGCGAAATTTTGGACTTTAAGAGTATCAGACTCATCTATAAGCCTCCTTAAGAACTGTGGATACCCTCCATCGAGAGCAATGCAATCCATCTCATGCACTCTCTTGTCCAACTTCATCGTTAGCAGCATTGTTCCATCAGCATTGTTCTTGCAAGATGCAGATTTGGAGACAAATAAGGCCATGCCATTACAATCCATTGCTACCTGTGTGCGTAACCCTGACTTTTTCAGCTTGTAAGAGTACATATCAGCACTGCTCTCACCTTTGTATGTTGCTCTTGTATCATGACCATCAAGATGCAATGTAACATGCTTAAATAATGGAGGATTCTTTTCCTTTGCAGACAATAGGCGTATTTTAATTGTGGAGAACATTGTTGCAATACAGTTGGTGATGTACTTGTTGTGCAAAGTATATTCTTTCTTATAAAACACAGAGTGCATTGCATGAAAACTACTTTTTGGCATGTGTGGTTCCATTGCTTCCATAGACAGTCCTTTGACAAGATGATAGAGCATTAAAAGACCTTTCTCCACTTCTTTGTATGGACCAGGATACTTAACCTTTGGCCAGATGTCAACAAGAAAGAAGTACACTGGAATAGGACCAAGGCGTCGATTTAGGGTTTCTTTTATTTCTGGCATATACCCAATTTCCTTGCTTACAGTACGATGATTATTACGTGGTGTAATTGTTGGCCATCCAGCGTTGAGGAAAGTCCAATGGTCATCAAGCAGTTGTTGGAAGTGTTTTGTTAGATCCATAATAATATTTATGTATTGGATTGTCATGACGTTAACCAACAATAACAATTTTTTAAAAAGGCTTATACTTAACTGCATACACAACAGCATGTAGGATGGTATCTATCATACAGCAAGCACATAGTTGAGAATACAAATATATTTTTATATTTTATTCGGTAGCGGCCCCTTCATGTGCAGAGGATATAAAAAGGCATATAAAAAATATCCAAAGCCCAAGGAACGGAGTGTTTACTTCCATAACTGACATATCTCTTCATAGTGGGCAACAGAACACAGAATAAAATAGCAATAGACAGCACATGTTTTTTTAAAATGTAATCTCTCCCCTGTATTTCGCCCCAAAGATACAGTTGAGAGTACAAGTGCTTTAGATGATGACATACAAGAACTACTCTGGCGAATCTTGCAGTGAGGGTTACAGGTTAATAGTAGATGGACATATTCAAGAGTGTGGTGTGCGAAAAATAAGAAGACTTTGTTGTTTGGAGAATAGGTTGGTGTTTAGTAGGATAGTTAAACAAAAAATGTTACAATGGTTGTCTTATATGCTTGGTATCATATATACATTCTCATCCCATAGTCGCTATGGATATTGTCGAGATCTACAGAGATGTAACAAACACCATATGATAACTTGGACCTGAAAGGCCTTCGTAGAGTTGCTTAAGGCGAGCGTTCGGGGAGCGGGGCGACATGGAGAACACGCTGCGCTAATCGGTGGGAGTGGAGCTATGGAGAGGAGCCGGGGAGGTCTGCTAGGAAGGGTGGAGGGATCCGCCCCTAAGTATGATGACCGCGCACTTTATGTTACTTGTAATTTTTCAAAAGCAGTTCCATCCCTACTGTTTCATATGAACATTATCGTAAGGTTACCTGCGAGGGTGCTTGCAGGATTTCTGTGAGATGTTGTTGTGATGGTCCGTGTGGAGTTCTTGTGAAGGTTCGTGGGTGGCTCTTGAGAAAAGGATATGGTGAGTGTTTTTATACTGTGTAATGAAAGGCGATGCCGAATGTAATGACGGCTGAAGCCTATTATTCGACATCTCCAGGGACTCCAGATGTGATCAACGAATGTCCTACAAAGGACGGACTATTCGCATTGTCATAGGTGCCATGGACATATGTGTTACCTTCTTTTTAATTTTGAACCGACGAAACTAAACTAAAAAATATATATAAAGCTATGGATCCCTCACCCCGAAAATGCTCCTTATCTTCTTTTTCGGTAGCAAACTGGGCGGCGAGGGTGGGACATATGTCCATGGCACCTATGACAATGCGAATAGTCCGTCCTTTGTAGGACATTCGTTGATCATTGTCTACGGTGCCATGTCCATATGTGGCTCCAGAGGGATCCCCAACGTGGAAACAGACAGATTGTTCGAGATGACACTGGAGAGACGGTAGTGCTTCTCGAAGATCCTAGGGGAAGACCAATTGCCTTGAACCATGATGTCAGGAATAGGGACACCGGCCATGGCGGCGAGGGTGGAACCGAGGGCGCGAAGCTTGGGTGGCCTGACGCCCTTAGGGACAAAAAGACGCGAGATCGTGTTCATGTAGACCGAGATCGTAGTGGAACACAAAGGCTTGGCTGGGTTGTTGGAATGACGGAACAGTGGAGTGATAAACTGCTTATCATCTTTGGGGTGCGGGATCGGGACATCTGCAGCCATGGTGCGCGCACGATAGATGGTGAAGGCGTGAACCGGGCAGACTGCCTGGTCGCTATGCTTGCTCAGGTGAACATACTTGATGATACGCTGGCGGCCTCGCTTTTCCTTGGGGAAGACTACCGCAAGCTGAAGTTTGTCGCCGATGACGGCTGACCTAGCTACGTCCGTACAGAAAATGTCGTCGGGACGCATGAACCCACACACGCCTAGCAGCCATGCTAGCTTTCGTGCCAGCTCCACCATGGGGAGCTTATGGTTGTCGAGACCAGACCGGAAATGAATAAGGACTGGCTCGATGGAGTAGTGATCGTGCTTGGTGTCAACGATGCCGGAGCTGTGGCCGGCCGCAAGGAAGGACTTGAAAATGGGGTCGTTGGATATGACCTCGGGAGATCGACAGAGGGCAAGGATAGCGGTCTTCCTACTCAAGACTGAAGACCACTGCAGCTGCTTGGTGGCCATAGTGTGGTAGAGCCAATTGACGATGGGGACAGCCGCATTGACACCCTGATCATAGTGGCCATCCTTGAGCCACTGTAGGAACTCTTGCTGCACGGGTTCGTATCGTAGGCGGGTCTTGGTAGCGGAGATGTTGTCCGTGATGAAGGCCGTAGCATCCTCAGTGATACCCTCGCGGATTAAGCGTGCCCGCTTATCCTCCACGCCCCCAAATGCCAGTGGGGATTCTTGTGTAGGATGTGACTTGCGCTTCCTCGAGGAGGAAGCACGCTGGCTCTCGGGATCGGAACTGGAGGGCAGATCGACATGGCTTGGACTGAGGGAAACCAAGCTGCTGACGGCCAATACGGAGCTATCAGCGTTGCGTCCAGCTTCTCCTGCCTGAGACGCTGCAGAACTTGTGGGATTAAATTCCACGGAGGACAGATGTAGAGGTTGCCCAATCTCTTCCAACTGTGACGAAGAGCGTCCGTTGCCATTGCTATTGGGTGCGGGCGCCAAGAGAAGAAGTGAGGGAGTTGCGTGTTGATTGGCGACGCGAACAGATCGACGTGGTGGGGCCCCCACCAATGGTCCAGTGCTTGGAAGAACTGTGGATCCAGGCTCCACTCCAGCTGCTGTTGCAGTCTCCTGGATGGCGAATCCGCTGGGTTGAAGAGAGATGGCACGTACGTGGTCTGCAGGCGTGTGCCGGTAGCTAGACAGTGTCTCCACACTCTGTCTGCTGCTTCCATCAGTGGAGGTGATCTCGTACCGCCGAACTTGTTGATATAGGAGATGGTGCTGGTGTTGTCGATGATGACATTCACCATCCGTCCTTGAACTTGAGGAAGGGTGACCGCAAGGAACACTGTCTGGATCTCTTTCCAGTTGATGTGCATCCTGCGCTCCTCCTGTGTCCATGTCCCGCTCCAGGTCTGGGAACCGATCACGATCCCCCATCCCTCGTCTGAGGCATCCGTGTAGATGTCCAGCTCCGGTGGCGTTTGGATCCATGAGTGGCCGTTCCATTGTCGAAGGTTGGATATCCACCATTCCAGATCCTTCTCCGCTTCCTCCGTAAGGATTACTGTGTCCGTCCATTGAGCTCCTTGACGACGCAGGGTAGAGTTCTTGAGAGAAAGGAGGTTGCGAGACATTAGGCGCGCCGGAAATACCACTAATGTGGTGGCCATTGTCTTGCCCACGAAGGAGGACAAGTTCTTGAGAGTGGTATGGCCCTTGTTGAGCATCTTTGTTGCCTCCCGTCTGAGATCCCTCAGCTTGGTCTTGGGGACGGCGAGAGTCATCTTGCGTGTATCGAATGAGAATCCGAGATGGTCCAGGGTCTGGGATGGCTCCAGGGATGATTTCTTCTCGTTGATAATGAAGCCCAGTGCGGTCAACTTGTCTCGCACTAGTTGAGTGTTCTTGCGTGATTGCTCCTCCGATCGGGCCATGATCAGGATGTCGTCCAAGTACGCTGAGAGACGAATCCCTTTGCGGCGAGCCCAGCGCAAAAGGGGACGAAGTACCTTTGTGAACACTAGTGGTGATAGAGAGAGACCGAAGGGCAAGGTCCGGAACTGGTAGATCCGGCCCTTCCACTGGAATTGTAGATAACGTCGATGAGCTGGTGCTACTGGGACATGGAGGAATGCATCTTTCAGATCGATCGAGGTGAGGTAGTCGTTCTTGTAAACCATGGCGCATACCGTCTTGGTGGTCTCCATCTTGAAGCTGGTTTGCTCCACATACTGGTTGAGGGGCCTGAGGTTGAGGACCGGCCTCAGGTCGCCTGTCTTCTTGACGATGGTGAAGAGCCTGCTTCGGAAACCAGGATCCGTGGCTGGCTCGATTGCTTGCTTTTCGAGCAGGGCGGCGATTTCCTCCTCGATCGCCTGTTCGTCCTCCAACGACATTGAAGACCGGTGTTGTCGGAGATTGGTTGTTGGGGGGGATGTATGGAACGGAATTTGAAAACCCTCCCCAATCACGCTGAGGACCCATTCGTCGTCTGTCAATCGCTGCCATTCCGGGAGATGATGTTGCAGTCGACCTCCTATTGGGAGCTCTGGCCTCGGCCGCGTCCCCGTCCGCGGTTGCCCCTGGGAAAACCCTGTCCTTGGAACTGTCCATGGCCGTTCCAATCGTTGAAGCCTTGGTTCGGGAAGGCAAATTGTTGTTGCTGCTGCGGGGGCGCTGGAGGATACGCTGGAGCGTATTGTTGGTATTGCGAATGTTGCTGGTATTGCTGTTGGTACTGGGGTCGCTGTTGCTGGCCGTATTGGAAGTTGTTGCCGCCCCAACCGCGGCCGCCGCCGCGATGGCCTTTGCCTCCTCGGCCCGATCCTCCGTTGGCTGGCTTCTTGGCGGGGAGAGCCTTGGCATATTCCTCAGCTGCTTTGATGTTGGCTTTGATGACCTCTTGAGAGATGCTGACGCCTTTCTTCTACTCCGGTATAGGCTGGAGTCCCTTGGCGCGGAGATAGTTGTTGTTGCGAAGCTCTTGTACTTCTCTGGCGTTGTTGGCCAAATTACTGCGCATGATTTGAATAAAGTCTGCCACTGTTTGCCTTGCAGTGGGGTCAGTGACGTTGGCGAAAAAATCGATGGCAAAGTCGTCGAGGGGCCGAGTGGACTGAGCTTGGCGTTCGATAATCCTGACCAGAGTTTGTTCCTGATGGTAATAAGGTGAAGACCGGTCGACAGGGAAGGGGAGATCCCAGCCCGGGGCAGTGTACTGCTGGTGAGGGTTCTTAGGGAAGTGCAAATCGTCAGGAGAGATGGTGTCCTCGTCGGGGTCGGCAGGAGGAAAGAAGAAATGTTGTCCAGAGATGGCTGGGATGAGCTCTTGGACTTTCTCAGAGATGACCAGCAGTTGCGTGCGTGGTACGTCGATAGTGGTGGGAGTAGGAGTGGTGGTAGGTTGGGAGATGTGAGAGTTGACCAGAGCCCTAAGGGTGGCCACCTCTTCAGGTGAGAGAGAGTGAAGTGCATTATTGTCGGTGTTGATATGGTCGCTCATGAAGGAATGTCGAAGCTTTGGATGTGTTCCTGAAGAGCGACGAAAAAGAAGATAAGGAGCATTTTCGGGGTGAGGGATCCATAGCTTTATATTTTTTTTTTTTTTTTTTTTAGTTTAGTTTCGTCGGTTCAAAATTAAAAAGAAGGTAACACATATGTCCATGGCACCTATGACAATGCGAATAGTCCGTCCTTTGTAGGACATTCGTTGATCATGTTCTTATTTACATAGGGGAATACTCTCTTCGTTACCAAGAAACCTCTAACATCGCTGTGTTGTCAATCTCTGTGCTTACCACATCCGAAAAGACGATTCCAAATTTTTTTATTTAAGGCACGGTACTTTCTAGATGCCAAGAAATGTGTACTGAAAGGACTAGTCCACAGCTACAACGACTCGATGAAGTTGGATTCAGAGACCAGGCGAAGTGGCATCTCCCGCAAAGTGGGCGACAATAGCATCCGCAATGCAGGCACTAACGTACATGAAAGTCGTGACACCAATAACTCCGATAGCCTGTGCAATTGCACAAAGTGAACCCGCGATAACAAAGCCACCGTAAGAGGACATAATACCGGCTGCAACACTTCTCGCCACGATCCCTCCGGAACCAAACCCCAAGGCTCCCACAACAGCTCCCACAACAGCGACTACACTCAGTTCAAGCAATGCGCCAATGACTACCTTCGCAACCTTGGGCAAGTAAGTTAACGGCGATAGAATTGGTATGTTAAGTATCTTTGAGAGTTACATCTCATCTCAAAAGCTTATTTATGGTTTTAACGTTTAGGATACGACATAGCAGCCTTGAGCTGTCATGTGTGTGAAAAATGATTCAACGAAAAGGCACAGCGGATTACTTTCAGGAACCTGTTCGACGATGTCTGTTGTGTGTAACAAAACCTTTTGTGCCTTCCACTGCAGCTTTACACACTCCAGCATCAGTTCTGACGCCGAAAGTGGTGTGTGCGAAATCAATCATCACACAAACTACAGGAAACATTCGACCAAGCCTAATGTATACATGTCGATGGAGCATCGGACACTCCCACTGGAGAGTCAGACGAACACAACATAATCATGCTGAATTTTTATCATCAATCGTAAACACTTTGTGAAAGAAAAGCAATAAATTTTTTATCGCGTTTGTTTATCGACAGCCTTTACAGTAATCATTGATATAGAACATTGGCTGCTAGGTTTGAAGACAAAGCACTGACCGCTTGGTTTGAAGGCAAAGCATTGACCGCTTGATTTGAAGGCAGAGTACTGACCGCTTGACATGTCATCAAAGTATATCTATAACACGTGTATGCATGATTAACATATGAATATATGATTAACATGATTAGCGAAATGGGCATCTTTTATTCAAAGACATGAATGGAAATCACATCGCAGCAAACGATCATGTCTTTTGTTTTTTAGAACGATCTTCATCATCATTGCCACCGTCGTTGGCTGCTCGTTTTCCGGCGTTCATGAGTCTGTCAATGAACTTGACATGCTCTTCGGGAAAGATCTGGCCAAAGTTGGTGTTGCAGACACGTATCACTACCTGTTGCACGCCACGCGCGTCCTTCTCGGGAACTTCGACGGCCGGCAACCTGGCACCACATACCATGGGGTAGGCTACGACCATGCTGATGTAGATGTTGTCAGGGCAGAAGCACTTGAAATCTTTGGCATGGGCCTGAATGCAAGACGCCGAAACCGTGGTCAGTGCATTTTCCCAGAGCTTATTGTAGAGTTTGGCTGAACACTAATGCAGTTTTGTTTGCACAAAGACAGGCATTATCCTGCGACCGTCGATTCGGATGAAGAACACCATGTCTGGTCCCGACGGTTTGTGTTTAGGGAAGAAGAATGGAGCGACAGGCGTGTTGTTGCGAGTCGAATGGTGGTTGACATGTGCGTCCATAAACTCCTCCATCGACATCATCGCATGAGTCGTACCTTGCAGGAGTGCAGGTTCTGTCCAGCCAACAATATCCACCTCGCCGACAAGATCAGGGCACATCTGCACGACCGGGGGCTGATGCGGCCAATCAGAGAGACGTCGCGACTTGAATGTCTTGCTGAAAACGGTCATCATATATCGCTCGAAGAGGTTTCCTTTAGCGGCTGCGTCTGTCCGATCCATCAACCCTCTGAGAGCCGTTTGAAAGCCTGGGTCCGTCGCAGAGAAGTAGTTTTCCACTGCCTTGAAAACGAAGGGCTCGTCAACGACGGTGACGGCGTTACGATTGACGACATTGATCCGACCAAAGGCGCATTCTACCAAGGATGCATTGACGCTGTCGTCCTCGAGCCTGTGTTCGCCCCGAAAGCATCGGTTATAAAAGTACTTGCGGAGAATGTCAAGGACAGTATATTGAGACGCGTTATGGTGCGTGTCCGCATTATGGTGCGTGTCTTTGTGCTTTTGGTCTAGGCGGTTGAGCTCGCGGCAGAGATTGCCTTTGATGGTCCTGTACTTCCATGCAACGAGCTTGTCTTATGTGTCCTCAATGAGTGCCTTCCATGCGCCTTGTTCGTTCCTTTCGACAATTTTTTCTATAGCTATAGATGGAAAGTGAACTGCGTGAGTACTCTGTCGTCTCTTTTTTTTGCATTCTCCACTGATGTACAGGAACATACCAACGATTGCTGGTCGATAGCGGCCTACAAACTTGTCAAACAGCATGTCGAGCGCATCCTGAGGAAGGCGCTCGTCAAAGACCCGCCTTGATTCGTCATCCAACAGGCACCTCCGCACTCGAGACATGTACGCCTTGATCGACTCGAGATCGGTAAATCCGGGGAACTCCATGTACTAATTTTATCATGTGCATTAAAAAGAATTAGAGAAAAGATGTTTAGGAAGCGTTATAGCTACAAACAAGGAACAGAAATGGCAATAAAAACATAGACAGTGTCAACTGCGCTGACGTGCTTACCTCAAAGTTTTTCGAATCATCCTTCAGCTCTGAGCCAGAGCTTTGAACCCAGAAAAGGGTATTAATTGATAAGCCAGTACCACAGGTGACAAGCGTGAACTGATCCTTCCCGATGTCTCGAAATGCGTGTAGAATTGGGGACAGTAGCGGTCGTAAAAAGTCATCCGAAGGAGACTTCGACTGGAAGAAGCCATTGAACTGGTCGCCAAGGAACTGTGCCTCGTCATTAATGACTAGGAGCTTGGTCCCATCCTTGATCTTTGGTAGACATCCGCGCACGATAAGGCGATCCTTTGTATCCTCGTACACATTTCGGATTAGCAGTGAAAGAGGGAGTTCTCCATGATGCTGAAGGTTGAGGAGTTTGAGGAACAGTTCGTTGAACATGTCCTTGAATAGAACATGCGGACACACTTGCAGGAGAGCCCATCGTGCGCTGGTAAAGGTTTCACTGCTGCCGGGGACGCTTATGCAGTACTTGAAGATGAGGAGCCGAGAGAGAAACAGCAAGAGTGTTGTCTTCCGTGCAAAGAGGTTGTTGATTTCACGGTCCTCCACAGCGGAGGACACCTGGATATCCTTTAAGTAACTGCGAACCGTGTTGTAAAGTGTCATCATATCGCCTGACCCCCAGTCGTCATCGGCAGCGTTGAAGTAGAACCCCCAGTGCTGAGACAGGAGCTCGATCACAGCACGGGTCTTACCATAGCCTATATGAGCACAAGCCAGCGCAAATAATATTTAGCATCATGCATAAGAGTTGACGGGTAATAAGCAGAGAGCGCACTTTGCATCAAGTTGCTTACCAGAGACACCAAACACTTTTTCATGAGAATGAAAGAAAAAAAAGACAGAAAAGATGTAAGTGCAACGAAGAATGAACAGAGATGAAAAGAAAAACATAGCCAGTATCGTCCGCGCTGACTTTCTTACCGGGAATATGGTATCTATTATTTCCTTTGACCATGTCGAGAATAGATCCAGCTGCGAGATTCCTTGATTCTGAATCAGGTGCGGACGGGTCGGGAAGATCCATGAACAGCAGGCTTGGTCGAGTGACATCCGGACGACCGAACCCGCGTCGCCATGCCCTTGGCAAACCTTGAATGGGACCAGTTGTCGTGGGCAGTGCCACATTGCCTTAACAAACGCGTCCAGAAAGTTGGCCACTTGTGATCCTGGTGCAAAGAACTTGTCCGTGATCTTTTTGATGTCCGTGTGGAGGTCGTCTAGAAATGTGAAAAGAGGGCATCGTACCCAACTCCAAACATCTGGAGTTATCAAAGGCTCTCATATAATACAATCCGGAATGGATCTTCTCGCCCCTGATGTAAGAACTCGCCTATCACCTTCATTATGGCTTTATCCCCCATTGTTTCACTTTGGCGATTGTTTTGCTCATCTCGACCTTATCTTCTCTAGAAAAGCTCGACAGTTCAAACAGTTGAGGAGATAGGGGAGTCGCTTTATTCGACAGATGGGGACTCGCAGGCGTCGCCGTGTGTGGCTCGTCAGAAACGAAGAGAGGTCAAAGCAGGTAAGACAACCACGCACTGCTTCATAACGCACAATCGTCATCCATAAGACTGACTTATAAATGGATACAATATGTAGACGACAGGATTGACAAGGAGGAGCGAAGGAAGGAGCCAGGGGTAACTCCGATGTTGAGCCCAAAGTGGACAAATGAGGAAGTGCAGACCGAATATCCTGGTACGCAGGGTTGAGGTGCAATATGCATGAATAATCGTAACCAAGGAAGGCATTTATGGTGCTCATTCATTGTCTACCTTTTTGAACAGATCCCACGCTTAGCCTGGAACACTTTGCCACCTTGGGGCAAGCAATAGTTTGGAACGTTGAAGGCAGCGACATGGTCCAGAAGTTTCGCGATTTCCGCACTGGAAACCTAGGTCCCTTCTCTCTGGCCCGCGACGGGATTGCTGACCTGACGCATGAGTCAACGTTTTCCCAAGTGCTAAGTCCGACCTTGCTTTCAGCTGCCAGACGTGCGGACCCTGCTCCAGACATTTATGAGCGTTGGCCCACGCTACGGTCCATTTGTGATCGTGTTTTCGTGTCAAACAATTATGATGAAGTGGCGCATGCAGTTCGCTCCGAAAGCATGCACGATCCCATCGCCGCGTACTTGTTCGTTGTCATCATGGCGTAGTAAGTGTACTCCACTATTTGCCGCGTTGGCCTTTTGTATAATGCTCTTCCTTTGTATCCCATGCTACGAATGTGGGTGATGTACTAGAAATGAAGCATAATGGCAAAGGTATTGTATTGACTGATGGCTACATTTGATCAAGTGCATATTTAAGCATTATTTTAATCCTGTGATCGGCAATAATAAACCTACCAGCTTCAAGAATGGTAGGGTGTTCATGAGACATGTGTGAAGTGGGGAATATCTCTCTCGTGGGATGCGTTCCTTCGCGAGAAAAGAAAAGGTGAGGGATCCTGTTCGGACAAAATTTCATTTTGTATCTGTAGTTTCTCGCGAGAATAAAGAAAAGAGTCACACAATAGAGAGAGAGGCCGACCAGGAAGCATCATCAATGGGAAAAAAAGAAAAAGAAAAGAAAAAAAAATCGAAGTCTCTAGAACAAAATTGGAGGTGGCAGCACCTTGAGTCAGGACCAAAGACCCCTGGTTCTCTCGACTTCGGAATCGTGATATTACAAAGAAATGAGGATGTGCAGCTGCTCCTCCCGTGAACCTGTCGATCTGTCTCTCATTTTAGCGAGCGCTCCATGAAACGCTACCAAACTTTCACTCCAAAAAGACATGACAGGTATGGTACTTTATGGGGGGTTTTTTATTACTGTTATGTTTTTTTTTATTTTATTTTTATTTTTTGGATAGCCTTCTATCTGGAGGTGCAACCGGTGAAAAATAAAACGCAAATATTTTTTCTATTTTCCATTCTTGTTCTTCAAAACACCATCAAACCAGTCAAGAATCACCTGGGTCAAAAAAATATTTGCGCCCACCGCACAATGGGCTCCAGCACCTTCGTTGGCCTTGAATTCATAAAGCGTGGCCTTGTTGCCAAGATGGGCCGCGAGGGCTTTGGCCTGACCAGGGAAATAAATGTCGTTTTCGGCGTCTCCGACAAAGACTTTGGCTTGGACCTTGTCCGTCAACCCAATCAAGTTGTAGGCCTCGGAAAGCTTGTAGTAATCATAAAGACTATGGGTCTTGAACGACCACAGACCCTGCTGCAGAGCCCAACGCGCCGAGGTGGGGATGCTCTGGTTGTTGAGGAAATGAGTATTGAGGATGTAGTCGAACTCGTCCTTCTTGCCGCCTTTGTAAAGCTCCATGAGTTCCGGGGTAAGGTTGTCGGTCAGTGTCTTGCCATAGTCATAGATACCGTCAATGGCGATAACGGCTGCGACGCGATGGTCGAACGCAGCCACTCGGGTAGCGAGGTAACCTCCAAGGGAGTATCCCAACACGGCGATGGATTTGGGATCCACGTTCTTGAGTGTGAGAGCGTAGTCAATGACTGGACTGGCAGCCTTTTCCCAGTCGGGGATGAAGCCGATATTCTGTGTCGCATATTTGCCTGTCTCGGGGGTGTCAGCTAATGTAATTAGGCTAGAGACAGTAATTTAGTCATATGACCAGACACCGACATAAATGGAGGTGTCTGGGCTGTTAACAAAGATCCCTCTCTTGTCTTATCAATTCGATTGTGCGTGACTAGCGTAAAAATTTTCATTTTTTTTGATAAATACAACACGGATCGGGATCAGAATCCGTCGAACGATTGACAGGATCCATCCACTCATTTATTTATTCATTCAACCCATTACGAGGAACACTCCATCAATCTACAGGAGCGATTCAGGACGTAACGGGAGCATTTACGGATCATTACAGAACAGGACCTTTACTGTCAGGATTTTTCTCTATTTTCAGGATAATCCAACAAGGACAGGATCCTTTTCTTTTATTTGTGGTCATTTCGTGCGTGTATCTGGTCACTAGTGACAAGGTTACAGCAGAGACTGATCATTAATACGAAGTGTAACAGGCGGTTACTTTCGTTGTTATTATTTGGTTACTATTCTACCTTTTTGTGTTGGAGCTTTCAAGTGCGATCATACATCTGTGTGGTCATTTGAGGTCTTCATATAACACGGTAGCAGAGATTCATTAGAAAACTCACCGTTAGTTTTGATCAAGGACATTCTTGTTCAAATAAACGCGGGATTCGTCTTTGTTGGCATTTAGGTGTGCCCTCATCCGAATTCATTTGCATCAGAAAACTTTTAGTTTTTTCTGGGTGTTGTTTTTTATTTTTATTTTGAATCAAGTGGATCACTGAGCAAAAAAGTACTGGAAGTTGACGTTAGTAGTAACAGTATTATTTTTTCTGGGGTGCAGTCTGGTTGATCATCAGTTTTCAAAAGCTCATTTCGTTTTCTGTTTATTCTGCTTGTCTGTTTGTTTTCTTTTCCTTTAATTGGGTCATAGAGAATGGCAGCGAATACGGCAAAGAAGAACGAGGACGTTGGCAATAAGGTTGTTGGTGCGTTAGATGCACTTACCTTGACGTCGGGACGAGATGAGGGAGCAGGCATGGACGTTGATGTTGACATGCAGGAGACTGTTGGCTCTGACTTTATGGATGCCCATGCAGCCAGAGGAAAGATGAAGGAGTATTCGATGCAACTGGCGACGTTGACGAGACAGAAGATGCAGTTAGCCGCGCGCATCCAAGGGTTGAGCCAAGAGGAGGGCGACCAGGAGCGACCAAAGTTGGCGGAACTAACACGTCAGATCGCTGAGGCCAAGACCGCGATGAACGAGTGGAATGTCATGCTGGATGACCTAGAGAGTGCTGAGAGGTCCATGGGGAGGACGGCATTCTCTAGTGTTGTGACCAGAGAGGAGAATGAGGAGTTGGGGGTTAAGAAGGGTGGAAAGATTGACGAGATCAAGTTGTCGAATGAGTTTCCGCGTTACCATCGGTTGGTCGAGGCTCATCTGCTTCCTGTTCTTGACATCAAGATCCACGGTCCCTTGATTACCAACGTCCGAGAGTTCCTGTACGAATTCCATAGAATAGGAGTAACAAAGTTCACGACGGGCGGGTTCGATGAGAGATGTTCAAGGTTGTTGTGCTTGGCGAATATGGATCGCAAAGCGTCTGATGCCATGAATGCAGTCTTGAGTCGTGACCCTGAAGGAAAGTGGCCGTGGGCGAGATGCGAGAAAGTGTTTGTGGAGAGTGCTATGACGCAGACTGAGAGAACAGATGAGGTTGAGAAGGTGATCAAGATGGGGTTAGAACGAGGTGAATCGTACAAGCAGTACTACCATCGGATGAAGAGGTTGATGGATGTGTACCAAGTCAAGGACTTACCCAAGTTCGCTGATTTGTTATTCTTGCTGCAGAGAGCGGTCGACCCGAGCGTTCTTACGATGATCTTGTTACAGAAGCGCATTGCGGTCCTTGAGGGGATGCTGGGTGTGGCACCTGATGAAACAACCTTCGAGTCTTATATGGACAGTTTGCAGCATATGCAGGGACCCGCAGACAGTGATGAGTGGGCACCGGTTATTTTGGAGAGGAGACGATTGACCGGGGCTGCAGATAACGAAGCAGCGAGGCAGGCCCAGAGTTTAAAGGATAAGCTCATCAACCAGCAGAAGAGGGCAGCGGCAGCAGCAACGCTTGCGACGACAAGTGGAACGCGTGTCGGGGGGACTACTGGTGGTAGCATCAACCAAGTTCCTACAGCGGGTGACAGTTCGGTCCAGAAGGGGAATGCTGGATTCGGCGGTCAACGTGGCGCCTTCGGTAATGGTAGTGGTTCTGGTGCGCCTAGAGGTCGAGGAGGCAGTCATGGTCGTGGAGGTTACAAGAGGAACTTCAACCGTGGACACCATCCTTATCCTGGCAGAGGAAACAGCAATGGTAAGCTAAACCACACTGTTGAGTATGATGATGCATCTGAAGAAAAAGTTGAAGTAGATGGTGGTGAGATGTCTGTTGTCGACCAAGATGTCGTTGAGATGAGTAACGAAAATGGTGACGTCACCGAAGTCGAACATGACCGCATGACTAACGACGCGTCTTTCATTCTGCATTCCAAACAGGTGGAAACAAGCAGTGAGATGCAACAAACTGATGTACATGAACTGGAGGAGCAGTCGCACAGTTTAACAGAAGTAGTCATAGTGAATGAAACAACAACTGACGAGAAGAATGTCAGTGACATCAACCCACGGAGTGAAACAGTGAAGAAGAGAAAGAAGAAAAAGAAGAATGCAAAGGGTATTGCGAAAATCGAATTGAAGAGCAAACTGCGTGGTGAATCCGGTTTGGGTATGAGAGTTCATGTAGGTCCATTGCCGATGCATCCTCTCGACGGGGGGGAAGGTAGCGGTGATGCTAAAGTGGCTGTCGACCAAGCAAAGGTGAAGTATGGAGCTATGGGCATTGTTAAAGAAGGAAGAGATAATGCACCGGCCGAGTACAACATCGAGGATGTAGTAGACGACGAGTACCTAAGGGCCTTCGAAAGATTTTCAATTAGTGATAACCCAGTGTCAGACGCATGTGATGGTTACCCATTATTCTCCTTTGGAGAGAAGGACTTTGAGTTAGTACACAAGCACTATGGTTCAAGTAAACGAAAACATCAGCCGGATAATCGACTGTTTGTTCCTGTTTATCTTAATCAAGAGCGACATCTTGGGAGGCCTTTCAAGTCCAAATTATCATATGGTGTTTGTTACATCTCTGCAGATCTTGACGATATCCACCGCGTCCATTAGAGGAGAATGTATATATGATACCAAGCATATAAGACAACCATTGTAACATTTTTTGTTTAACTATCCTACTAAACACCAACCTATTTTCCAAACAACAAAGTCTTCTTATTTTTCGCACACCAAACTCTTGAATATGTCCATCTACTATTAACCTGTAACCCTCACTGCAAGATTCGACAGAGTAGTTCTTGTATGTGATCATCTAAAGCACTTGTATTCCCAACTGTATCTTTGTCGTGAAATACAGGGGAGAGATTACATTTTAAAAATTCTTGTGCTGTCTATTGCTATTTTATTCTGTGTTCTGTTGCCCACTATGAAGAGATATGCCAGTTATGGAAGTCAACACTCCGTTCCTTGGACTTTGGATATTTTTTATATGCCTTTTTATATCCTCTGCACATGAAGGGGCCGCTACCGAATAAAATATAAAAATATATTTGTATTCTCAACTATGTGCTTGCTGTATGATAGATACCATCATACATGCTGTTGTGTATACAGTTAAGTATAAGCCTTTTTAAAAAATTGTTATTGTTGGTTAACGTCATGACAATCCAATACATAAATATTATTATGGATCTAACAAAACACTTCCAACAACTGCTTGATGACCATTGGACTTTCCTCAACGCTGGATGGCCAACAATTACACCACGTAATAATCATCGTACTGTAAGCAAGGAAATTGGGTATATGCCAGAAATAAAAGAAACCCTAAATCGACGCCTTGGTCCTATTCCAGTGTACTTCTTTCTTGTTGACATCTGGCCAAAGGTTAAGTATCCTGGTCCATACAAAGAAGTGGAGAAAGGTCTTTTAATGCTCTACCATCTTGTCAAAGGACTGTCTATGGAAGCAATGGAACCACACATGCCAAAAAGTAGTTTTCATGCAATGCACTCTGTGTTTTATAAGAAAGAATATACTTTGCACAACAAGTACATCACCAACTGTATTGCAACAATGTTCTCCACAATTAAAATACGCCTTTTGTCTGCAAAGGAAAAGAATCCTCCATTATTTAAGCATGTTACATTGCATCTTGATGGTCATGATACAAGAGCAACATACAAAGGTGAGAGTAGTGCTGATATGTACTCTTACAAGCTGAAAAAGTCAGGATTACGCACACAGGTAGCAATGGATTGTAATGGCATGGCTTTATTTGTCTCCAAATCTGCATCTTGCAAGAACAATGCTGATGGAACAATGCTGCTAACGATGAAGTTGGACAAGAGAGTGCATGAGATGGATTGCATTGCTCTCGATGGAGGGTATCCACAGTTCTTAAGGAGGCTTATAGATGAGTCTGATACTCTTAAAGTCCAAAATTTCGCTCATCCATACCGTAAACAGAAGAACAAGGAACTTACACAGGAAGAAGCGTTATACAATACCACCTTTGGTAGTTTCCGCTCGCAGATGGAATCTCTGTTTGCAGACCTTGGTTCCACATTTGAGAAACACAACAACCGTACTCCTGTGTTGGTGGATAAGAAACAAACATATAATTTGCAGTTGAAGTTATCTTTGTTACTCTTAAACATGAAAAAGATGGTTGCTTTGTTGAAGATTTCTGCAGAACCAATTCATACAGCTTGGCTTCGCGAAGGATTCGAGTATCCGACAACAGAGAACGACGTTGAGCAACCAATGGGATATGTTGATGTTGGTGCGCTAGTGGAGGATGGAAATACAATGGCACAACTCCAGAACAAATTTCTTGGTATTAAACTTCATGGTAATGTTGATGAGGACCAGTACTCTGATGAGGACACACCAATGGATCCACCAGTAATACTGCAACCCGGCCTTTCCATTGCGCTTTGAGGTACGTAGTACGAAGCGACAAATGGATGTTAATGGTAATTTGTAGACTTATTGCAGGTTTTTAAAAGAATAGACATACATAGCCTATTTAGTCAGCGTTGAGATACGGTATTAACTGCCTAGACGCTAATATGCACCGGTATCTATTATTAAAAGTCATGGTATTATTGTAGTAGATCGGATGCTATTCTATGCTATTCTACAACATTCCTTTTTATTTAACAAAGAGGATAAACACATGTACAAACCTACGTCATAAAAGAATACATAAACACATGTACAAACCTACGTCATAAAAGAATACTACATTCTTAACCATTTTTAAACCCCGTCTTTAACGCCAAGCAGTCTTAATAAGCAAGATCTACGTCATACGAGGAACACTACGTTATTAACCACTTAGATGCCTTTTTAAAACTCTTTTGTTACTAAGCGCCAAGCAGTGTTAATAAGCAAGCGCTATTAATATCCAGTGTGGCAGTGTCCCATGAATTAGTATAAATAAAGGACTCCACTTCCCTCTTGCTTAATCTTTATCTTATCTAGTAACCAACCAACCATTATCCATATCTATACAACCATCCATACCTATACAACCATCTTTTATTGCAATTCTTTATATCAGTGTACTAAGCAGCTGCAATCTACCACACATAAACTGAAAGCTCATTCACACCCACCATACCACAAGTACAATCTATATCGTTCATATCCAAAAACATGCAGTACGTTCAGCTTACAATCGAGCTCATCACCAAGGCCTTCGAGACATTTTCTTCTAAGAAGGGAGTGGAGTTTACCAAGAAAGATGCAAATAAGATCTTTAAGGCGCTTGATGAGGATGAGGGAGTAGAGAGATACTACTTTTGTGGTGCAAAGTGCACCAAGTCCAAGCGCAAATGCATGAAGGAAGTTGATGATGAAGGCATGCATTGTTATGTCCACGATCCTGCGCGCAAGTGTCAAGGCACAACCATTAAGGGCGCTAATTGTGGTAGTGTAGCCAAACTTGGTGAAACATACTGTGGACGTCATCGAGAGCAGCATAAAGGTCATATGAAAAGCAGTAACAATAAGGCACCTGCCAACAAGCGTACCAAGTCTTCCAAGATAACCAAGAAGACACATACTCCTGAGTTTGTCCCTTCAGATGATGATATGACTTCCGAGGATGAAGAACCAAAGAAGCGAAAGAGAAACAAGCAGGAGTCATCGGATGAGGAGCCGTCCGATGATGATGAAGAAGATATAATTGCCGTCTCCTTTCCGTTGAGTCCAAAGGTAGTTGACATAACGTCCAAGAAAAATGTACCACTCGCTAATACAGGCATATGGATGCGTTATGCAACTAATCCAGCTTTCCTGTATGCAAAAAACTATACTGTAAATGGCAAGTACATTATTAAGCTGAAGGAAAAGGACCTCTACATTGTATTGTGTCCACCTGAGCTCATGGGGAAAAATCTTCCTGTACCGAAATTATCTGACAAAGAGGTACGTATATTACAAAAGATGGGACTCCAAGAGGCAACTCCTGCTGATGTAGAAAAAATAGAAGAGTCTTCTGCTGATGAGAATTCTGACGATGATACAGATGATGGTGATACGTCTGATGATGCTGGCTCTGACGATGATTCCCCTGATGATAAAGACTCTGATGATGGCAAGTCCAATAACAGACCTGATGTAGAATCTGGAGATGATACCTCTAAGGATAACCCTGATGAAAAACTATCTCATAAAAAGTCATCTAAGGATGATGAGAAGAAGACTTCTCGAAAGAAAAGGCATTCAGAGATGCCCAAAAATGCAGAGCCATCTTCTAATGTAGACGTTTCTAAGGATGGAAAAGATGAACATACATTTGCACTGGCCACAACGGTGCATAACATTAGATCAGAGAAAGACATAGCACGTGCGAAGGACAGAGGATGGATGATTCATCCTAATAACGACATGCTTGAGTATGCAACTAAGTTTACGATGAATGGCAAGTACATTGTCAGGCTATCTGGAAAGAATACATACGTTGGCCTGTTTACGCTTGATGCTCTGCGCGGTGTCGGTGATGTTCCAGAGTTGGATATCTTGGAACGCTCCATGCTTAGCAAGATGAAACTTCAACCATTGTCTGATGAAGAGAGAAAGACGCTTTTCAACGAGGAGATCGAAGTAGAAGAAGAAGTACCAGTAGAAGGACCAACAGATAAATCCAAGGTGATATGGAAAAAACTTAACAAGTACTTGGAATATTCCGAGAATGTACTTGTAAATGGAATGCACATTCTCAAGATGCGCAAAAAAGACACTGTAATCGGCTTGATGACTGATGACCATATTGCTGCAGAGAATGTAGAGTGTCATTCTCTTAGCCAGAAGGAAAAAGAGAAGTTGTTTGCTATGGGATTTAAACCGCATGAGCATAAGCAAAGCTTGCCACAGAAAGATGAGAGCACATGTGAGGATGATAAAGATGCTGAGGGCGATAAAGATGCTGAGGATGACAAAGATGCGGTGGGTGATAAAGATGCTGAAGATGACAAAGATGCTGAGGGTGATAACGATGCTGAGGATGACAAAGATGCTGAGGGTGATAACGATGCTGAAGATGATAAAGATGCTGAGGATGATAAAGATGCTGAGGATGTTATGTGGAAAAGGTACCCTAAAGATAAAAGCTCCTCGGGTATAATCGTCATAGATAAAGACGAAATTAAATGGACAACATGTTCGTTTGACAAGAAGCATGAATATGCAACCAACTACCTTTTCGACGGATGTCATCTGCTCAAGAGGTACGAAGAGGACATTATTGTTGGACTGCTGTATAAGATACCTGCAAACGGTGACAGTAACTATAGTCGAGACAAATTTACCAACAACAAACAAAAGCAGAAGTTAATTGCCATGGGGTTCACGATCGAGGAATTGCCTAAATTGTACTCTCCAGATGTAAAGTTTTGGTAGTTGTTGAGACAGATGAAGAGTAGATATTTTAAAAACTATCCAATTGTCAACAGTTGGCATTTGTGGTTGTATATATAGCATGAACTTTTTAAAAATGTAACATGTCTTCGACACTTCCACCTAGGAGGCCTTTCAAGTCCAAATTATCATATGGTGTTTGTTACATCTCTGCAGATCTTGACGATATCCACCGCGTCCATTAGAGGAGAATGTATATATGATACCAAGCATATAAGACAACCATTGTAACATTTTTTGTTTAACTATCCTACTAAACACCAACCTATTTTCCAAACAACAAAGTCTTCTTATTTTTCGCACACCAAACTCTTGAATATGTCCATCTACTATTAACCTGTAACCCTCACTGCAAGATTCGACAGAGTAGTTCTTGTATGTGATCATCTAAAGCACTTGTATTCCCAACTGTATCTTTGTCGTGAAATACAGGGGAGAGATTACATTTTAAAAATTCTTGTGCTGTCTATTGCTATTTTATTCTGTGTTCTGTTGCCCACTATGAAGAGATATGCCAGTTATGGAAGTCAACACTCCGTTCCTTGGACTTTGGATATTTTTTATATGCCTTTTTATATCCTCTGCACATGAAGGGGCCGCTTGCACTCATTGATACTGGTGCCACACATTCATTTATTAGTGCAGCTGTAGTCAAAAAGTATTCTATTCCGGTTAAACCAATGGAAGGATACATTGAATTAGCTGACTCGTCTGTCATTAAACGCGTTGGAGAAACGGAAAACGTAGAGATTGTCTGTGGACAGAATGTGCTTAGCGCGCCATATGAGGTTATTGAACAGAGTCATGCAGTTACCATTGGCATGGATCTCTTTCACCGCTATGGATTCAATATCGTTGGACTACCCGATGCAGATGAGTCGTCTGGACGGATGCCAGCGCCAGTTGAAGACGAAAAGCCCACGCTGATACCTCTCACGATTCCAGAACGAGAAAAGACGCAGGAATTTATTGCGGAAAAGGACGCGTTCATGAAGAGTATAGAAGAGTCGCTGAGGTTAAACGCCAAGATTCCAAATACAAGTCATTGTACTATACCTGAAATGAAGGTGTATTTGCCAGTCCCTGATGACGTTATCCTCTACCGCAGACCTAAAGTATTTGCTGCATCGCAAATGCCGGTTCTTGATGAAGCAATCCAGAATTGGCTGAAGGATGATGTAATTACATTAGCACCTGCAGGTAATGCACACAACAACACATTAACGCTAGCGGCTAAGAAAGATGCTAACGGAAACAAGACTCTCTACCGAGTGTGCTTGGATCCGCGGCCCTTAAACGCGCACCTACCCGATGATAATTTTCCGGTACCACTTATATCAGACATCATGCAATTTGCTGGAGGCAATGCAGTGTTCTCGACTGTGGACCTAAAGCAGGCGTATCATCGATTACCAATCCATGAAGAAGATCAGCCGTTGACGGCATTTATGCATAACGGGATTCAATATATGTTCAAGAAGGCTCCTTTTGGATTGAAGCCCTTGTCCAGTTTGTTTCAGCGTGGCATGAGCCGAATCCTTGGGGATTTGAAATTTGTCAGAAATTTTATCGATGACATTCTTCTCGCATCAAAGAACAGAAGCGATCATGCGATTCAGATGATAGAGTTGGTTAAACGGCTAACTGATGCCAAGCTTATTATTAACCTTGACAAGTGCAAGTTCTACAGTACGCAGGTGGCGTTGCTGGGCTTCATTGTGGATCTTGATGGAAAAAGAATTGATCCCAATAAATTGGTGAATATCAATGATTGGAAACCCCCAACTACGGGTAAGCAGGTTCAATCTTATATGGGGACTTTTAATTTTTTCCGCGATCACGTACCCATTATAGCTACCATTAGCGCTCCGCTAGATGCTATGCGTAATGTGGTGGGTCCATTTACGTTGAATGCTGCTCAGTTGAAGAGCTTTGAGGCACTAAAGAATTTGTTGGTCTTATCGCCCATAATTTGCTGGGTGGATTTCAATTTGCCGTTATATGTTGCTACAGATGCATCTAACGTTGGAATTGGAGCAATTTTATATCAGCTGCCGGAAGGCGAGGCGAATCCCAAAAACATTAGATATATTTCTTTTGTTGCGCGCTCATTGCAACCCAGTGAACGACGCTATAGTACAACTCAGAAGGAGTTATTGGCAATTGTGTTTGCACTGAAGAAGTTGCATTACTATTTGTGGGGCCGTCACTTTACGCTTTTCACGGATCATCGCGCTCTTACTTTTATGCATACGCAGAAGGATATGAACTCGATGCTTACCGCATGGCAGGAGACTATTTTGGATTACACGTTTAAGGTTGTTTATCGACCTGGCGTTCTGAACGTTTTACCAGACGCTTTGTCTCGCCAGTTTCCTCAAGAGTTGTGGACAGCCCGCATTCAAGGATCTGCTCCGAGCAAAATTTATGGTTATGTTCACTTAATCCAGGACGCCGACACTCAACGTGTGACGGTAGCTGTCTCAGAGAGAAGAGGAGTGTTAGTCGACGCACATGCGCTTGGTCACATTGGGACCAATGCCATGGTCAAGCATATTCATTCGTTGCAAAAGACGTGGCCTAATCTGGCCAAGGATTGCTTGGAGTATGTTCAGCGTTGCCAAGAATGCCAGCGAGTCAACATCGCACGCAAGGGATACCACCCTCTGACGGCCATTCATGCTCAGTTACCAGGTGAACATATGGCGGTTGATTTGACCGGTCCATTCCCTGTGGAGAGCGATGGAAACCTATTCCTACTCATTTTGGTTGATGTTTGTACAAGGTTCGTCTTCTTGGAACCCATACCTGACAAGAAGGGGATGACCATTGCAAAAGTTTTGTTCAAAATCTTCACCACTATTGGTTTTCCACGTATCCTCCAATCTGACAATGGCAGAGAATTCGTTAACGAGGCGGTGCAAGTGATGACTACCACTATGGGAGTGCAACATAGGTTACTCACCCCTTATCACCCTCGCGGAAACGGAGTCGCCGAAAATCATGTGAAAACAGCATGCACTATCATTCGCAAAGAGGTTCAAGACCATAAACAAGCATGGGCGAAACATGTTCCTATGGCACAGCTAGCTATGAACACCAGAATTGTGGCTCTACACAATTCGTCCCCATTCTCTTTGTTTTTTGCGCGGCGTTATAATGGTATTAGCAATTTCTCGGACACGACAGAGAAGTTATCATCCCAGGAGGAGCTCTTAAAGCGGCTTGAGTACATGACCAAGACCGTCTTTCCAGCGATTGACACTAAGACCCGCGAAACTCAACGTCGAATGATTGAGCGTTTCAATAGAACAGTACTGCACAGTGAATTCCCTGATGGAGCAAAGGTTATGTCTTTGGACCCGATCTTGGGCGACAAGCTTTCGCCTAGGTATGAAGGCCCTTATATTGTAGTCAGACGAACAACTGGTGGATCCTATGTGTTGAAGGATGCCACAGGAGAAGAGTTAGGTCGTAAATTTGCGCCGTCGCAGCTAAAGCTTGTGCTCGACGATTTTGAAGCAACTGACACATACGTAGTAGAAAAAGTTCTCAACCACAGGCATGGACCTAGGGGGGGGATGGAATACCGCGTAAAATGGAAAGGGTACAAAGAGGAAACCTGGGAGCCTCAAGAGAATTTTATTGAGAGAAAGTGTATCACAGACTACTGGAAGACTAAAAACCTACCAGGATCGCAATCTCTAACGCAGCCTCGTCAAACGGCCGCGACTCTCGGGACTAAGGGTCAAGAGCAGGAGCTCAATCCATCGCAACGTAAAGGTGCTACTAAAACATCAAAGAACATATCCAATGGTGATGCTCTTAATAAGGGTACATGCAAGCGTGCAAACCCCGACGAAGAAGAAGATCAATTGGTCGATCGACGCAGGTCTAAACGACTGCGAAGAAATAATGCTAATGGCGAGAAGATGAGTATTGAGCTTAGGACGATTCGCGGGCGTATGCCTGATCGTCATTAGCATGCATCATCAGTGCATCCGATGAATAATGCAGTAGGGGTTTTTCCGCTTCCCCTACAATCACGTTCGAGGTTTTCCCTCTTGGGTTTTCCCCTCGCAAGGATTTTTAAACGATTTTTTGCCTTGAGTGAACAATTAATGTCATGTGAGGATTGTTGATCCTCAACCTGTCTGCAAGGTTTTTATTCAGATTTTTTCCTGGCAGAACAGTAAAATAATGCACAGAGTCCAAGTGATTCTTAGACACAAACGAGCAGAGCATATATGCGTTTTTAAGCAGACGGCTTTCAGCCTTTCCCATGGGAGGGGATTGTCGCATATTTGCCTGTCTCGGGGGTGTCAGCTAATGTAATTAGGCTAGAGACAGTAATTTAGTCATATGACCAGACACCGACATAAATGGAGGTGTCTGGGCTGTTAACAAAGATCCCTCTCTTGTCTTATCAATTCGATTGTGCGTGACTAGCGTAAAAATTTTCATTCTGCTCTCGACGGACCGTGGGCTGTCCAGGTCCCTCGTACGTGATGATGTTGATGTTTCTTTGCAGCGCGGCTTGACCAAAGACGTGGTACATCTCTTCTTGGGCACCGTCGTAACCGTTGCACATGATGATGGTGGGTCTTGGCTTGGACGAGCCACTGCTATAGTAGATGGCCGGGACTTTAAATTGGCCGCCCTTGGAACGCAAGGTAACGCGTTTTCCAGGAATGGTCATGAGCTTGAGCGCTGCGTTAAAGGAAGCCGTCTGTTTGTCCCAGAGCGTGTTGATATTGGGATCGGACCAGTTGCCATGGAGGAAAAAGTCGGCCGCGCGGTAGTAGGTGGCGGCCTTGAAGTGGGCATTGCGTGCCGAGATTGGGTACTTTGACGAATCGATACCTTCAGCGACCTTGCCCATATGGGTGGCCAGCTCATCAAAGGATTTGGACCAGCTGAGCATGGAGAGGGGTTCAATCTTGTTAGCAGCGACGAGAACCTCGCCAATGTCGGATCCCTCGTACGGCGCTATACCCAGGATGCGAAGAAGTTCGTAGTGAAAGTCGTCATCGGCGCTCAATTGGTACATGGGATCCCCTGAAGGTGAATTATTTTCCGCTCGAATGCGCAAGTTTGGTACAACGACGGCCTAAGTAGAGAGATTCAATTAGCAAAAAAAAAAAAAAAAAAGGAACATTGTGCATCATATTCACCCCCATGAAATGCTGGTGGTCATTACCAAGGAAGCACTGGCGCAAAGCAAAAAGAAGAAAGCGTTGACTGCCTTCATTTTGTTTGGAAAGAGGTTAAAAGTACGTGTATGAGGGGAGAAGGCTAGAGGGCAAGAAATAGACGAAAGGAAGAAAGGGGGCAGGGTGCAATTGAGGTGGGGTGTTTTTTGGCGGGTGGGGTTCAAGAGAAAGACTGAAGGAGAAGCGAGATGAAGAGTGGGTCGCCTTTTAAGACAAATTTCTCTTCCCATGAACGCAACCGCTCGAGCGTCCTTTTTCGTTGGCTGACAGGAGCAACCCCCAGTCTCGAGTCATGTCGCCGAGCCACCCGCCCACAGCCGTGACAGCCAGTGTCCTATTTTTAGGCTATGCGCAGTATGGGAGAGGGCACGTCAGTACTCCTGTGGTATGATATCAGACATTAAACTAAACGTCTGTTCCGCGTGGGTGGCGGGAGGCAAGCTTTTGCCCTATTCAGGTGTGCCCTTGCGGCATGCGCTCCGCCCGCTGGGTGGGGCTATCTGTCCTGATTTGGATTTTAGCGTGTCCACCGGCACAATTAAAGCGTGTAGGCTGTTCCGTATTCTCTTCTGCACCTGGACGACGAATGCATAGTAGGGCACAGCCCAAAAAAAATGCAAAAATGTGGGAAAGTAAATAGATGATATAATCGCAGAGAGCTCCTTCACTCTTTTGACGCCCCAGTAATTGGCGTCACTGTGTCCGCCAAGAAAAAAAGCACTAAAAAGCTGCATCGGCACTTCCGTTCAGAGCCGATTGGCCGGCCCTTTTGCCGCGGGCCGTGTGCCGCACAGAGCCGATTGGCCGGCCCTGTTGCCGCGGGCCGTGTGTGTTTATCGAGTACATTTCGTGAGTACACTAAAAGTCGCTTGTATTGATTGCCCACTGTGCTTTCTTTTTGCTTATGCATCTACTTTTGCGGCCTCTGTGCTTTCTGTTTTGTCATGCATCTACTTTTACGCTCCCTGTGCTTTCTTTTTGCTTATGCATCTAGTTTTACGCCCTTTGTGCTTTCTATTTTGTCATGCATCTACTTTTACGCCCTCTTTTCTGTCTATTTGTTCATTCATGCGTCTTTATCATGTATGCTGTATGTTCACTTTTTTTATAGCCACCTTGCTTCTGCCTCCATGTTGTCTATTTGTCCCTTTTGTTCGAGCATGCCGGCTTGTACGAGTCGTTCTCACGAAAAAATATAATGACGTCACACACCATAGCACGTGATTGACCATCCATCAAGCATTACCATTATTTCTCTCCTTTCTCATCGTTGTCACTCTATTCTTCACCATAGCCGCTTTAACATCACTTGCATCACCCCCTGTTGTTGCTTTTCTTGATCCATTCATCTCTTCTCTTTCTCCTTTTTTATTCCCACTTTTATTCATCACCTCTGTTTATCCTTTGCACTTAGCTCTCTCCTTCTCTTCAATCTCTTCTTTCTCCTCTTCTTCCTCCTCCTTGTCCTCCTTCCCTTTGTCCTTCTTCCCTTTGTCCTCCTTCCCTTTGTCCTCCTTCCCTTTGTCCTCCTTCCCTTTGTCCTTCTTCCCTTTGTCCCCCTTCCCTTTATCCTCCTCCTTGTGCTCCTCCTCCTTGCCTTCCTCCTCTTCCTCAATCTCTTCTCCACCCTTCTCATCTCTTCTGGCCCAGATTTGAAGGTAATGGAGCAACTGATACTCACGCCTCAACTTAGTGACTGTTTCCGGATTCGGGACCCTGTTCTTCTCTTCGTTCTTCGTGTGAGGATCGGTGTAGGCAGTCCTTGTTGCTCCTAGCATGCAAGATTGCTCACCTTTCCATTACTTCCTCACTCACCTCATCATCACGTCCTCATACTGTACGCTCTCCCTTTTTTCTCTCCATTGACTTCTAGTACGCCCAAGTGAGAAGATTCTTTTTTACACATGCATCTATTCCCTCAATAACTTCGAATGATCCATAATTGTTTGGCTCTGCAGTGGGTGCGATGGTCCAAAGCGGTCCTGATCCCTGTACTCTTGGCTAGCAGAGGCCTCAAGAGATGCCAGGCAGGCATGTTGCACGCCAGAGGGCTGACATGTCAAGGTGAGAGGCATGCTGTACGCCAGAGGGCTGGCATGTCTAGTTGATGTTGATTATGTTGAATAATCTCGCAATGATCAGTCGATCTCACATTTGATGAAAGTGAAGGCAAGGATATAGTTGAGCTTGTAGGCGTAGTCCCGGACGGGAAGTAATAGAGCGGGATATATCTATTCCACTATAATAGTACCCGCGGCTTCGCTCGCGGAGGTGTTGGGTGAAAAAAAAAATGTGGGTGTGGTTTTGTATTGTAAGACTTATATCTGTTTGCCACTCTTCGGTTCACTCCCTTGCTCTCTACTTTTCATTTTTTTTTTCTCTTGTCTTTTTTTTTAGTCACTCAGGGTAAGAATTTCAGGGTAAACAACATTTGTTGTACAGTCATATGGTGTATCGGGATGCTCTCTCTCAATCAACACATGAACATTGTTCTTGCTCGTCACTCGAGAAAGGGCGACGTATAGTTGACCATGGGCGAATACTGGCTTCTTGAGATAGATACCAACAGTGTCTAAAGTCTGACCTTGGGACTTGTTGATAGTCATTGCAAAGGCAGGCCGGATAGGGAACTGGAGTCGCCGGAACTTGAACGGCATATCGAGGTCAGAAGGGCAGATCGGGATGCGGGAAAGGAACACTTGTTTGCCGGCATGTGTTCCTGTAATGATAGTGGCTCCCAAGACGTATCGGGAGAGTGACGTACATATGAGTCGTGTACCATTGCAAAGTCCTTCCTGTGGCATGAGGTTTCGAAGGAGTATGACGGGACAACCCACAGTCAATCTCAGGCGGTGAGGAGGGAGCGAAGACGACTTGAGGCTGTTCAAAAACTCGATAGAAAACAGAGCGTCCACTCTATCGTCCTCTTTATCGATGATGGAGTCCTGTGAGAGAAACTCCCTTGATTCCTTCTCTATGGCTGACATGATGAGGTTGTTGACTTCATCGACGTTGTCGTTTGTCGGACAGAGCACTGCGCGCTGATTGAGATACTGGGCATTGCCAATATTTCGCCGCAGATCAGGATAGACTTTTGCAATGAGATCGCCAATGTTGGCATTGGCTGGCATGACCATCTGGGGTGGGAGCGTGATGGTGGTGGAGATTCCGTGGTCTGGAGATGGGCCAGGAACAGTACCTTCTCCGACTTGAAGAAGCCAGTTTGCAAACCCGGTCTGTTCCTCGATGTCAGGAGCTTCGGCATTTCTGAGGAGGCGCATGTTGATGGAAAGATGGAGGTGTTGGATGTGTTGCCAGAGTGGTGATCGTTTAAAGCAGGCTCCAATGGTTTCCTCTCTGCGACCTTGCTTGACGACTGGTGGAATCTGCCTAAAGTCGCCACCAAAGACCTTGAGCTTTCCTCCAAAGAGACGGTGTTCGTTCTCAGGGTCCACAGTCTTCATCAGGTCTTTGAGAGTGCGATCTACAGCCTCAAAGATATGCCGATGCGTCATAGGAGCTTCGTCCCAGATAACGATCTTGGCCTGAATGAGAAGATCGGCAATTTCTGACCTAAGGTTGACAGAACAAACACTATCTTCATGGGTAGGGACGGGAATCTTGAAGCGCGAGTGAGCGGTTCTTCCGCCTTGAAGGAGTAATGCGGCGATTCCAGATCCGGCGACGGCAAGAGCGATATCGCGATTCGACCGGACCATAGACAGGATAAAGGAGTACAGGAAGGTCTTCCCTGTGCCTGCCGAACCATCGATGAAGTATGCCTCGGAAGAGTTCATCTCATAGGAGTGCTTGATTCGGTCGTATGCTTCCCTCTGATCTGCATTGAGCGACTGTTCCATCATGGAAAACTCCTCTGCGCTAGGCAAAGGATAGCTCAACTCGTCTGCAATAAATGCATTTCCGTTGGGACCATGCTGCTCTAGCATGACGGGCTCGGGCATGCCTTCATAATCGTCGAGAGTCTTGCCGAGGTTTCTCAGGAGAACTTGTAAGTGGATCAAGGCAGCATTTGCACGCTGGTCTGCAAAGGATTGTCGCTGCTCAGGACTGGTAGCATCACGTTCCCTTGGACGGAGATCATCAGACAGTACATCGCGGAAGGTGGTCCAAAGCTGAGCAGGATCTGTCGGATTGCAAAAGGCAAGGATCTTTGCAAAAAGGGAGCGGAGTTGGTATCCTGTTTGACTGACAGCAGCATCTCGAAGACAGTTCTCCCACTCACTATCGTCTTGAAGCATGCCAAGGGCGATGCAGGCGGCCTTGAATGTGGGGTGGACCTCGTTTTCGACTGTTCTCAGATCCTCAAACGATTTAGGACTTGGCACCGAGAGCAATAGCAACCGCAAATAAAATAGATCTCCTGCGGTATCATGCACAAAAAAGAGCCGGCCGACTGTACATCCTCTCTGTCTGAGCTTCCATCGCTTTTCCCTCTTGAGGTAAACATGAGTTTGTGGGAAGTTGTGGTACTTTGTAAGCGACTCGTCGGGATGGTGTCGGTTATAGTCGAAGAATGCAGTTAGCGTACTGCGCTCCAGTGCGGCTCTCTCTAGGACATCAGCGATGGGTTCATCCGAGCGGAAGGCGTGCATGAACTGGCCGGGAAGATGCAAATGCAACCTGGTGACAGATGGATAGGCACTATGCAGACGAAATCCGAATATGCGCCAAGAAGACTCGGAGGCAGAGACATAGCGACCGTCGATGAAATCAATGATCTCGTTGACTGCTGGCACAGGTAGATCTCCGGTTCCGGCTTGAATTCCGTCTTGTGCAGCTTGTTGAACTACGACAGTGGCTCGATCATGGCCTTTGT